TTTCAACTCAGAACACAAAAACACGAACATAATTTTTTTTTAAAACAGTTTTTTACATTTTACTTAATCACAAGCCAGTGTTAAGTTTATAATTAATTACTTGATCTTCTTGATTACGACGTAGTATCTCTCATAATCCTACTAATATTATAAATGCGAAAGTTTGTGAGGATTTATGGATGTCTGGGTGGATTAATCTTTCACGCAAAAACTACTGAATGGATTTTAACTTTACAATAATATAGCTTATACATCAGAATAACATATAGGTTACTTTTGATACCGGAAAATGTAGATAGATTTGTTTTCATTTTTGTAGAGGCGAACCCAAGCGAAGCAAGAGGGAGCCGATAGTATTATATTATTTAATATTGGCCAAGCAGTATAAATGAAGCTGTAAAAAAGAAATAAGATCTCATACGGCTTTTCAATTTAGAGCTGAACTGAAATCGTTTTTCAAGACCGGAACCGATTTAAACCGCAATCCCTGTAATCGGATTCCCATTGCTACGACTATTTTGAACTTCGTTGCACCCGTTTAAAAATCCATCCCTGAAATATATTATGCCGCTTACACGTACGCATTAAACTTAAATTTGCAAGAGAACTTTCCAATTTTTTTTTATATAAAATTAATTTTATATAAGCTGTACATATAAGATATTTAAACTTAAAAGATAATTGCAATTTAAACTGCGGCCCTAAGCTAGGATGGTTTAGGAACGCATAAAAGATTAACGTCCAAATAAAAACACCTTTTTTTTGGGCCAGAAAATTTCGCAGGCGTATACAGAATAACTCGCATGAAATGAGTTTTATCACAATCGAATCGATGAAATAGGAATGCATAGAAGAGAAACATTCGAACATTTATTTTTATTTATATAGGATATACAACCATATTACATTAAAAGTATGATTACTTTAAATTTAACATGAAATAAGTAGTAATAGAAAAAAATATTACTTTACCTTTTATTTTTTTTAGTAAAAACGCCTAGCAAAAAGGTATAGTTTTTACTTTACTTTATAGGTACGTTTTAACGGTTAGTATAGAATAGATAGACTATGTACTGTTATATACATTTATTCTTTTTCTCTAACTTGACGTATTGTTGTAGATGGTAGGTCCACCACAATTGAAAGTAATCCGAAGTAGTGATTCTTGTATAAAATAACCAGTTCTGAACTTTTTGATTTTCCAGCTGTTCTTATGGGTTTTTCCAAAAAAAAATTATATTTAAGCCATTCCTCATATACATCCAACAATACAAAAAAAAATCAAATCGGTTCAGCCGTTTTTGAGTTTTAGCGAGACTAACAGCAATTGATTTTTTATATGTGTAAATGTGGTGTGGTAATAATATAGATAGGTACATGGACACTGTGTCAAACAAACCTTGATTTTATATAAATGTCAGATACGATTAATCACCTTTTCGGATTTTGATTGAACATTGTCCTGCGGAATTGCTTTCAATTCACAAACGATTTTAGATCCAATAACGGTGATTTGTTTTATAATGGAAACCTGTGCTAAAAATTTAAATTTTAATTGGTCTCGACCCGCAATCTTTTAAAATGAAAATGATTTTATAATTACTATTAAAAACTTTTTGGCATTATTATATACGTTTTCAATTGTGAATTGATAAATAAAATAATTAATACTGAAATGTTCAGACCCATACAATTTCAATAAAAAATTGATAATGTTTGTTTATTATCAATTTTTAATTGATTTTTTTATTGTTAATTTGAAAAATATAATGTTTTTTTTTATTTCTATTGGTAAAAATAATTATACCTCTATGTACGCGCTTCCATATTGGTTAGACGTCGGCAAATATTAATTGCATTAACAGATAAATGAATTAAGAAGAAGAAAACAATAGACAAAAGAAAAAAATATATATTCACGTTTTCACATTTAATAGATTATTTTATCAACATTTAAAAACGACGTAAATTATGTTTCTCTTCAATATATTTATAGATTTAGTAATGTACATCGAGCAGGTGCAAAGGTAGATAGAATACGGACACTAACCGGATCAACGAGTCGAGAGAGCTACGCGTAATTTCCGCCGAATAGGCTGAACTCCAACCTCTGAAACAGACTATAGTCGATGAAAGGTATATGAATACTAGTATCAATGCATGATCCATCGTCATTTACCTGTTTTGTAACACACCTGCACGTCTCTTAATATTTTTTGCTAAGTAAAAATATAGGTACTTGATTAGATTTAACAATTTCATAAAGAAACTATCTAATAAGTACATTCGCGTATATCCTACTAGAAATTCAATAAAAACTCCAAAAAAACCGACTACCAGGTACTAAAATATATATAATAACTAAACTTTATTTAGAATAGATACCTAATTAGATATTTTCAAAGTCGGTGTCAGCCGATGCAAAGCAAATCTAATAGGTATATTTCGATACGTAAAATACATTCATATCTTAAAATATTATTGGCACCTACTTCGAAAATATCTGATTAGGTAGGTATCTATTCTAAATGGAAAAAAAGATTCGAACCTCCTCCTTTTTGGAAGTCGGGTAAAAATATATATAATTATACATTGAGAAAGGTAAAAGTAATTGAGGTAGGATAAAAGCTATCTAACATTATGTTATGACGTTTACGAGTTTTTAATTAGTAATTTTATACATAAATAAGGCGGGGCCGTGGTTACTCATTTGTCTATACTAATATTATAAAGAGGTAAAGTTTGTGATCTTGTGAGTTTGTGAGTTTGTGGGTTTGTGAGTTTGTGACGTTGTAGGGGGTAATCTCTGAATCTACTGATCCGATTTTCAAAATTCTTCTACCAATAGAAAGCCACATTCTTTCTGAGTGTCATAGGCTATATATTAACCCGAAGAATGAAAAGCCTTTTTCGTGGTAGTCGGATTTGCAAAGTAAGTCGGAGAAAAAACGGTCGAACGAAAACGTTTCTTACGAACGCTGCCTTAACGGTGAGAGATACAAAGATTATGTTCTAGAGAAAAGTTGTAGAGCATAATAATGCCTACCAAAAAGTCAGCGATAGCATATGTATAACTTTTATATTTAAGTCACAAAAAGTAGTTTTTTATATTAAAAAAATAATTTAAATCGGTAGGTCATGTTTATTGGTCATATTATCAACAATTATGAATTCTTATCAAAATAAGTAAATTTATCGTGTAAAATGTTTAAAACAAAAGACTTTTCCCTTTTACTGCATATAATTTGGACAAATGGTTAAAGAGATAATACAACATATTCGTAGGTATGGACGAACCCGAGCCTATTGCCGGTCAAACAACAGTTTACTTTTCATCCCGCAAAAATGAACGATTCCCGTGGGATAGATCTGTTTGTGCTTTTCTAGAGGTGAACCCGAGCGAAGCGAGGGTGAGCCGCTAGTATTAAATAAATATGATAAAGTAAGTATAATATTTATTTAAATACGAATTCATACAATAAGACTTCCACTAGGTATTATTCCCTGTGTACGGTAAATATATGTATGCGATGGGAATGAATGGTAAATCTTCCTGTCGAGTTATTGGGGCGTGAAACAGAGATTTTACTTTGAAGAGCTCGCTTGGTGAACTAGAGACCACAGATTTTTTCACTCCGATGGTAATCCCATTTGACAAATCTTTTATACTATTATGAAATAGCATAGAACGTAATGGCTATGCTATATAGTAATACAGCAGAAAAATGTTAGTTAAACGTTGTCACGTGGAAAAATGACCTATAAAAGACCATTTTTAATCTACATAATATTTATTTCTATTGTTTAAGTTCTAATTTATGCACATTATGAATATTATATTTCTAATATATTATTCATAATGTGTATTCATAATTTAACGCTAAATTATCAAAATGTATTCATTAATTTCTATTAGTAATTCACAAAGCTAGATATTTAACAGTCGAATTTTATATTTCGCTTATATTGAATTTACATCCTAGGTAAATTTCGCATAAATTGAAGTAATTATGTCCAGTACTGTTTCACTGTATTTACTATTTGATGTTAACTGACATAATATCGTATGCAGGCAGCGCTGGATTTACACTAGGGGCACTCGGGGCTAGTGCCCCGGGCGGCAAAATTCAGAGGGTGAAAAAAAAATCTTAATTTTCCTCTTTTTGTAAATTTTCCAAAAAAAAATGTAACTTAAAAAAACTTACTAGTACGTTTTTCAAAGAATTAAAAACATTTATAAATAAATTTTTTGCATTTAAAAAAATATAATTAAAAGAAATTAAATTTTATCGAAAGTTAATACACTTTATGTAAAATTTCAATAATGGGGCGGCATTAAATGCTGGTAAGGTTAAATCCGGCCCTGTATGTAAGTATATTGAATTTTAATAATTACGATTTGGAGTTTAATTAAAACCACATACGTAAATTTTATTAATATTTCATACCACTCTTAAAATATAAGTAGTATTAATTCATTGTTAGTCCCTCAACGCTGGCGTTACAGTTAATAATAGATTTCTTGGAATTTTAATTAATTTCTTAGAAATTTACCTGGAGGTGGTTAATTGCTACCTATCAAATTAAACCTGTTTAAATTGATGTACGATAACTGATAAGTAAGTAAATAGGACATTAGATTAAAATATAAACGAGGTGTTCATTTAGTTTCTGGTCATTAACATATAAATTGTACGCAATCCTATTGTTTGGAGTGTATATAAAGAAAACGTACATTGTGATTGAGCACATATTATATCAGAGACTCGGCTGAGTATTGTATTGGATTAGGATCAAAGTGAATGTGAAACAATTACTTATATATTTCATATAATAATAATTATAAAAATAATTTCATATAAAAATTTTCAAGCTACGTCGAATCTAAAGTAAGAATTCACCATGTATTATCTGTAAAATATTTTATTTTAATATCTACGAATATAATTCATTTTTCTTCAGTATATACCTACTATATAAAGGAACAGTTTTTAGTGAAAATGCCACCTCTTGTGGATCCGACGCCTTCTGGAGTTCTATTTGAAACGGACACTCAGACTTCAGACTTGGGCTTAGATAAAGATGTATCTGTTCTTAAGAAAGCAGCACCCAGAAAATACGAGTATGTTTGGTTCAACATTTTCTGGTTCCTGTTTTTGCATGTAAGCTCTGCGTACGGTGTGTATTTGGCATTAACATCAGCCAAATGGCAAACCAATGTCTTCGGTAAGAGAAAAACTGTTTGGAATTGAATTTGAAATGTAATATTAAATTACTACTTTTGTTATAATAATAGGGAAATAACCTAATTTTTTTTTAATATTACAGCCTTTGCTATTCATCTTATGTGCGCTATTGGAATTGGTGCTGGTTCACACAGGCTGTGGACTCATCGAAGTTATAAAGCCCGAACACCTCTTCGCACACTGCTTATGATTTGGCAAACAATGGGTTTTCAGGTATTATAAATATCACCTTTTCGTCAAACTCTGTAATATCTTAGTAGTCCATTGAAAAGTTACATTTGAGGTTGTATTTGTCAGAGGACGCAATTTTATTTTTTAGATATCAAGGAGGGGTTAATGTAAAGTTAAATCCAAGTTTGTGGGGTTGCAGCCCTTGTCCCACGGCCGCCATCTTGGAAAAAAGGGTACAAATGGTTTTTATGGTTTATCTGACAAACTATAGTCCTCACAAAAAAACATTTTAAACGATTTTTGTTTGCAAATAATATTTTCTACAACTTTGGTCAACTAACCTTTAGTCGTAGAATCAAAAATAACAAAGTTATAAGTGAAAATCGATTAAAATGTAAGAAAAAAAATTCTATTTGTCGTTATAACTTTTTTTCTGATCATTTTAAAAAAAAAAATATATCAGGCCATTTTTATAGAGGCGTTTTTAAGGAATAATTTTCATTATAAACTTTTTAAAATTTATTTATTAATTAATAACGTAAAAAAACACGCCTCAGACTCTAAATCGTAGGTGGTGGAGAAAAGAGTCAATAATTAATTAATAACAATGTTACATTATCAATAATTAAAAAGATTATCGTAAAAATAATGAAAAGAAGGTAGAAAATTATGGCGAATCAACAATATTTATGTAATAGTTATGAATACTGAATAATAGTATATTCGTTTCGAAGCTTTATAAAACCTTAATTAATGAATGAAATTTAAAAAGTTTATTATGAACATTATTCCTTAAAAATGCTTCTATAAAAATGTCTGATATGTTTTGTTGTAAAATGATCAGAAAAATAGTTATAACGACAAATGGAAATTTTTTCTTAAATTTTTATCGATTTTCGCTTATAACTTTGTTATTTTTGGTTCTATGACTAAAAGTTACTTGACAAAAGTTGTAGACAATTTTATTTGCAACCAAAAATGGTTTGACAATTTTTTTGTGAGACCTATAGTTTGTAAAATAAACCATCTAAACCATTTGTACCCCTTTTTCCAAGATGGCGGTCGTGGGACAAAGGCTCCAACCTTACAAACTTGAATTTAACTTTACACTAATCCCTCCTTGATATCTAAAAAATAAAATTGCGTCCTCTGATAAATGCAGGCTAAGCCCAAAAAAATTTAACATTTCAATGGACTATAGTAAAATCTGTAAAAATAAAAATAAAACAGGGCAATATAATACTTAAGTATTTTTTTAAAAACTTGTAGGACTGTATCTTCGAATGGGCTCGTGATCATCGTACTCACCACAAGTACGCAGACACGGACGCCGATCCTCACAACGCAGAGCGCGGCTTGTTCTACTCTCACATGGGCTGGCTGTGCTGTAAGAAAAGTCCTGAAGTTATTGAAGGAGGGCGTCGCATAGACGTTTCTGACCTTTATGGAGATCCCGTGGTGATGTTCCAAAAAAGGTAGTAATTATCTTATTCTAGTATCCCACTCTCATTTCCTAATGGATCTAACTATATGGATATATATGTATATAATATGTACCTACTATTTTTTACAATAAATAAACAGGTATTCCTGAAACTATATTGTATGGCACCCGAGCCCATAATCTGTCTCTGTGTTCATTTTTTCCTAGTTTGACAAACAAACAAACCACAAAAATTATTTTCTATTAACAATATTGGTGTTGTTTATTATTAGATAGTGCCAATAATTATGTGCTAAATGATCTATTTACAGACACTATATGAAAATGATGCCAATCCTCTGTTTTGTGTTGCCAACTGTTATCCCTGTATACTTTTGGGGTGAAACTTGGTTAAATGCATTTTTCATCCCAACTATACTGCGATATACAATCGGCATAAACATCGTATGGAGTGTGAACAGTTTCGCGCACAAGTACGGATACAGACCTTACGATAAGTAAGATACATCAATTATTTTATAGTTATTTAATCAAATATCACTTGGACATAACTTTACTTGTAAATAGAACATGCAGTACGAAAAACCAGAAATGTCTCGCTTAGTAAATCATAATGTTATTTTAAAATCTCATTAAGTGATACATTGAAATGGTTATATCTTTATAGGTCACTGAATCCTCGTGAAAACATAGCAGTCTGGATGGTATGCGTCGAGGGTTTCCACAATTATCATCACACGTTCCCTTGGGACTACCGCGCGACTGAACATCCCATTCTTAACATGCTCACGCCAACAATTATGTTCATCGAAGCTATGGCTAAGGTAAATGAGGCGCTCTTAAGATCTTTCTTAAGCATAGATTATTCGAACTGTTTCATCATTTTAATAAAATATATAAATATTATAAATAGGTATACTCAAAAAGCAAGTAAACCTACAATGATAATAATTGCTAATTTCTTTTTTTTAAATACTTACAAAAGTTAATATTTTCAGATCGGACAGGCCTATGATTTGAAAGCCGTATCTCCTGATATTATAAAGGAGAGATCTCAACGCACAGGAGACGGAACCCATCACCTTTGGGGCTGGGACGATCCAGAATTTACTGAAAAATTAAAATTACGTTACGGTATTATAAATAAACCTGAAAGGAAAACTGCTTAGTCCGAAATCTACATTTTTATATTAACCTATTAGTTTAAAATTTAAATTAAGACAGTTGTTATCCAAAACCCGTTTTAGAGAAATCAAAAATGTTGTACATATTAAATAATATATACGGTTAAAGAAATTATAAAAAAAAAAGAATACGTAAATACAAATACTTAAGTATTTGAGAAAACAAGTTACATCTTAATAGTAAATATAAGCATACACGCGGTATAAAAATAAAATTTTAATCTTTTACTTTTCGTTTTATAATTCAGGTTGGTTACCTTATGTTTTTTTTTTAAATGTACAAATTGGAAGGTCGAAAATCTTTTTTCGATGTCGCAGCCGGTACAGTAGTAAACGATAAGCGAAAATCAATACCAGTCTCTTCCATTAGCAGAGTATAATTAATGCAACGCAATCATGTACTTATGTGATGGTACAAGCTCAATAAACATCCTACCATACCCTACTTATAAGTATGAAACTGGGTCTCTAAATATCAATTATTTAAATAATTTTATATAAAAATAACTTTTACATCCGTTAAATGTTTCACATCACGTATGCATATAAGGGATGCATGGATGGGATGCGTATGTATGCATGGGATTGAAGACATCCTTAATATTGGCCCGAGTAATAAATTATTACTACACAAAATTTGCTTAAAATCGGTTCAGTACTTTTTGCGTGAAACCGCACACACAAACAGACAAACAGACTACCAGACAAAAAAATTGTTTTGGTTCTATATTTTTGCACAATACGTTATACGGTTACAGTCATTATTTTTAAAAATATTTCATGTACAGATTTGGCTAAGTGACTGTTTTATTATACACTGGCATTGCCCGCGGCTCCGCCCGCGTTCAGATGACCAAAAACTAAATTCTTAGGTTTTACATATTAGTATACTCTTACAATGCAGTTTTTGTGTTTTTCTCAGAAATGAGATATTTTCCCGCGGTAAAAAGTATCCTAAATGTTGACCCGGATGATATTCTCTCTTGACCGATTTTGGCCACGGCGGCCTATCTCATTGAGACGAGCCTACTGCGCAGAAGATATTATAGTGCACAAGTGTACGCGCAGACACAACTGTGATCTCTATTCCTGTTACTCTCATACTCTGGTGGGACGACCAGTCGACCCGACCAGTGAGAGTTAAGGCGCAGGACCGACGGCTTTACGTGCTCTCCGGTAGGCACGGGGGTGAAACACTGCCAACTTCCCAACTCCGGGCTGTTACTGGCTTTGGGCTTGGAGGCTTATTATACAGAAAGATTCAATAACTAAACTTGGCCCGACCACCGAGGCAGTTCATCATCGAGGCAGAGGGTAGTTGACCCGGATAACCAGCTATCATCATACCAAATTTCATCAAAATCTGTCCGGTGGTTTTCTCGTGATGCGGTAACCGACAAACAGACAGACAGACAAAAATTCTAAAAACTATAGATTCGGACTCTGTATCGATAATAATGTTTAAATATTTCAATTAGATTTCCCAAAAAATATTTAATGTACAGATTCAACTTAGTTACAATTTGATTATATGTATAGATATGTATACAAAAAACAATGTTACTTTTTCAACATATATTTATACTAAAACATAGATATTATCAATAACATACATCGACATACGTCAATATCTGGCCTGGCCTTTGATGAGTTTATAGGTATAATATGTTATAATAAATATGTTTATACTATTTGTAAATAAACATATTTTATACTATAAAACTATTGAAATATGCTACAAACAACTGAAAATATGAAATAATATTAGTTTTTCTTTAGTGATTTACCTTCATCAGGCTCCATCCAAATCAGAGAGTAATAGTCAAAATTCATGATATATAATGGCGACTTATTTTACGAATTTTATACCTATATCAAAATTCCTTGGACCAAAAATCTAATTTAAAACTAAAGTGATTGTATATTATTAGTATTTTAAATCTCAATAGTGGCAAAGAAAACTAACAATTAATATTCATAAGTTTACGGCACAAGTTCACTAGATTAAAGATTTTAAATTACACAAAAATAACAGGGAATCAAGCGCGCTTCCCTTGAAATTTAAACGATTTTTGACGCGTTTGTCACGGTATTATTACATATACATTACCGTGCGTTTATTTTTAACGTTGTCGGCATTTACGAGTAATGAAAACTTTATTTTATTATATATGTACCTAGTTAATAAAACTTCTTAAGTTTGCGTTGTATATCACTCATTAAGCATAAAATAAACTAATTTCATCGTGTATGATAAAAGTGCAGTGGGCGAGGTGATGCCTATAGGCACTAGCGGGGTTCAAGTGGTTAAGAAACACGTTAAAGAATATATATAATTTATTATTTAAATTTAAACTTGTATAGTGTATACCCTAAAGATATCATCGCAGCCTTCAGAAGTTTGGATGTCAAGAAAACCGCTGACCTATGGGGTAATATAACTGTAAAAGTTATTAGTTTGACAACAGTATGATTTGAATTTAGCAGTTGTAGACGGAAAGAAGTGCGCTGAGTAGAAAAATGTAACATTTTTGGGTGACTAGAGTAGTTAATGAAACTGCAGTATGCAAAACTCATCTACCTACATAATATTTACTTAGTCCAATATAAATTACTAAATATGTATAACCTAATAACTGCTGTGAGATAATGTAATCGTACTTTAATAACTTTGGCGCTTTTTGAAGTGAAAACTTCTATAGACAGGTTTGGATGGGGAGTAAATTCATGTAAGTCGTCATCGACATGGTCACGTCACGTATTAACGTTAATACTAGAGCGATAGATGTCAAAACCAGATAAATGTAAACAGTTTTAATTTACAAATTTTTATTTTAAGATCAAACAATTAATTTGAATATCCAAAAATAGCAACAGTTTATTTATAGTTTTAAATTTTCACTTCTGTCGGCAGTCCACATTACTGCTTTTTTTTAATTTACCCAGTTGCTATAGTAGCGCTACCCTAATTTAGCGCTTTTCGACGGACTTTTTTTCATCACAGAGATAGTTCTCCTTACCTCGACCCTCTCTAATCCAAGCCCGTATTAATAAAAAAAGACAATTTGAGTTCAGAGTTGTCAAGTCAAGTCAATGTCAAACTGATTGATTTACGTTTTAGTTATTATTGACAAAAAAACATGTAACGTGTATTTATAACATAACGAAATATAAAACAATCAAATAAAATATCTATAACTATTGTTATTTTTGTTTACTATATTAGTACTACTACATAATTATATTAACAAAAAGTATTGTTCATAAAATGTTGTCGTCGCTTATAAAGGAACACCAAACCAAACAAGCAGCTAAAAGAGTATTACAAGGTAATATAATATAATAATATTACGAACTTAAATGCACTAAATAAATTATGTTAAATTATTTGAATACCAAATATATTATAGTAAACCAAATATATTTATGTCAATAGAACAAAAACGCAAGGAATGCATTACTGCTGCTAATGATTTAACTCAAGCTCTGGTTGACCATCTTAATGTTGGGTATGTTAAATATAACATATTTAAGGGTTTTTAACATCTTCGCATGGGCTTTATTTAAGGGCTTTAAATATTTAACTAAAAAGTGGATTTTAATTGTATGTTATTTATTCACTTAATAGTTTAATATTTAGATGTAAGTTGAGTAACAAACAGAGGCAGACAACTACTTCATTTTATACTATGTATAGATTAGCAACATGCACTTGAAATTATTTTTTTATTTTCTGAACTGTCAAATAAAGTATCGTCATCTCTGCCCGCTTCTTCTTTACAGATTTAGAAATCTTACCTGAAAATAAAATTTTTATTATGTTTCCTAAGACATCCAAAGTCCAATTATGAGAGAGTACATCAACTTTTTCTGTCGCTTTCTGCTAGGTCACTTCCTCTTCTGTTACATTTTCCTGCTTTTAGCGCCAATCGTGGCCAAAACTAAAACTAACTTTTGCCACTTGTGTAAGACAAGCCACCATTTCTGAAATCATTGTTCGGTTCATAATGAAAATGATGCTGATATACACCAGGAAGGCATTATTTGGATTTCGGATGTGTTAGGAAACACAATACAAATTTTATTTTCAGGTAAAATTAGTATATTATGTGTTCTGTTCGACATCCGAAGTCCAATTATGAGAGATCTGTTTGTTCTCTCCTGGTGACTTGCTAAGTAGAATACAACAATATGATTATAATAAACATGTAGCATTTGGTGCAAACAACATACAATTGGCATTATTAAAAATTTTATTCATAAAATTAACCAATCAAAGACTCAAAGATTTCCATTTTGAGTAATTCAGATCATACTATATAATTATAAGTTAATCAACATATTTAAACAAGTATTTAAACTTAGCACTGAGATGACTAAAAATATTATTAATATGACACTGCAAACAATCTAGACAGTGACTTTTCTGAATCAACGGTACTATAATTATGATCTTAAATTTTTACCTCTCTATAATATTTTCTAAAGGTATTTATTTTCATGGCGCCAATTTGCCTTAGCTAAAATCTCATTAACTGGGTACTTCTCTAAACAATTAAGAGATGACACAGCTGACCTAACTACCTGGCGTAGCCTCTATCCCAGCTTCAGAAAGGATACGATTTATCCAACCCCCAATGATTTAGATTACAGGACTAGCTAGTTTACTAGGAACTCTTGTGTTTATGAATAAATTGGTCAAATTACTTCGAACATTTTCCAAAATGCGTATCAATAGTCTTAACCAAAGCAAGGGGTCAGTATTTCTATCAGGGGAAGCTAATAACTTCCAACTGGATTGCTTATAAGTTGCCGAATCAGTTTTTAAGCCAAATATAGAATGCAAGACACGTTTGGCTCAGTTTATAGTGACCCTACTTGCTGTGCTAGCGGTCGCGGGTTCGAGTCCCGCTGGGGGCATTTATTTGTGTGATGACGAGTGTTTGTACTCCAGTCATGGGTGTTTATATTTATAATATGTATATATTTAAAGTTATATATGTGTAGTGTATCAACTATCTGGTATCCATAACACAAGCCTCGTAGCTTACCATGGAACTAGATGGCGCTGTGTTAATGTCCCAACATATTTATTATTTATTTATTTTAAGATAATTGAATCCCCACTGTCAACAAAATCTTTTGGATCACAATGCAGGAGAGTAAAGTCGTGTATTGTACGACCCAAAGCCAATAACAATATAATCACTTAATACTTTCTTAGATTTACGCGAATATTTGACATTTTAAATAAAAGCTGTCTGCAAACATAGTCAGGACCGCCCAAACCATTATATTCGCTTCGATAGACCTCAAATCCTGGCGAAAGAAAACCGATATCGCCCTAGAATGATTCGAGAAGCCATAGAAATTAAAAAAACATCCTAATTTCAATAGGGAAGATGGCTGGGTACTACCATCGTCATGGGATCCTGTTATTAATATAATAAAATCTAATAATAAATCTAAACATAACAGACAGGTAGATGTAGTAAGTTCTTACGGTGTAGATTAAAATGATAGCATTTCTGACTAATAATATTTTTTCACTTTTTCATTTGTAAATGTATGTAGTAATGTGTTGCTTAATAATTTGTTTTTTAAATAATAGCAAATTTAAATTAAAATTATTATTTTTAATTAATCTTAACTTTTTCAAATTACACATTGATCAATTGTGGCTTAAATAATTAATATATTATGATTTTTTCTTTATGGTTATAAATATAATAATGGCAACACTAAAAATGTAGAATAATAATTAATATTTTTAAAATTGTAATAATTATAATAATAACAGCTCAAATTAAATAAATAATATTCTATATTCAATTATAAAGCTTATTAAAATTATATAAAAATATTTAAAGTTAAAAGTTAAAATATTGTAAGGTACTTTAGTGCCATTTTTCAATTTTTGAATTCAGTTTGTTAATTGTGGGTAGGCTGTCTGTAACAACTATATAATACCTTAGAGACATCTAACACCTCAGTCTCTCCCGTGACCATGATTGCTGTAAAGCATTCGAAACGTCGGGAAACAAAAATGCAAATAAATCCGCGACAAAATCCGAAAAGATAATTTTATTTAAAATATAATCACTGTTCACCTGGAAACATCATACAAACTATCTAAGTTAGGATTTGTATTTTTCAAAAAATATATTACAATTCTTACATCCCATATTTGCAATTTCGGTGGAGCCAGTCTAACTCATGACACGGCCTTTAAAATATGTTTAACTAAATGATTTGATGTAATCTTTATATCCGATAAAGTTTCACAGACTGAAGCTATAACAGACTTATGTACCAGAATGGTACAGTATGACAAACTATCTTTAAGAAAAACTTTAGCTAAGTACCTGGCTACACTGGCGGGTGCAGGACAACGATAGTCCACTTTATTTTGCTTACACCATAGAGACCACTTGTTCCATATTGGCTTATAAGTTTTAAGTGTGGATGCTTCCCAACATGTTGACAAAAACTAAAAAAAGAACTTAGCTGGAGGACATACCGTCACCGTGTCCACTAATGTTGTTCTCAGATCCCTGATTTTCATTGGACGAGCTAGGGAGCGGCTCTTCAAGTCTGGCCTCCAAAAGGGTTTCTTCCACTTGGGTGCTACAATCATGAACCTTCCCTTTGCGGAGTTAGATGTAACACCCGCGGAAGTACAACTGGTAGAGGAAATATCCAGGCGAAGTCAAAGCGTCTTGAAAGCAGGCGCTTGAGTCTTAACAAGTCTAGAGTAGCATAAGTCTGACACTACGTGAGCCTTTCGCGAGGCGAACAGAACGATATCTGGAGCCGAATATCTTGTTGGTTGCCTCGTCTAGCAGATGCCACTCGGTTCCGATTCGATTCCGAGAGATCTGATCGGCTTCTGTATTGTACAGTCCCGGAAGGTGGTGAGGGATTAGTACAACATTCAGGCTGTCCGTTAGTGCTAGGAGCTGATTTGTCAATGTCAAGAGATTCCTCGACTAGGTTCCTCCTTGATTTTTTATATACGTCACAACTGTCTTGTCGCTCTGTAACATTATTGTTGAATTTCTTAGCGCCTTTGCCTCCAAAGATATGCCTGCTATCGCCTGCTACCGCATACATTTCTCTCAAGTTGCAGTGCCACTTCAGCTGATGTTGACTCTAGCAACCTTTTATTTCTTTGTTGTTTACTGGTGCCCCCTATTGAATGTCTGAAGCGTCGGTGACGAGGTAATTAACAGGTAAGTTCCTTGGGTGAATATGAGACTTCTGGTCGATATTTTCCAACCACCACTCTAATTTCCCGCGCACTTCGTCTGCGAACGGGATCGGCCGGCGAGAATTTTTATGTAAACGATTTCTGTAACGCTGAAGCACTCGGCACTGAAACCTTTCCCGAAGGGTGATGAAGATCGCTTCGAGAAATTCGTAAATGGTAATATGCCTGTATAAAACAAGATGGTGAAGCTGGATATAATCCAGGACGGACAAAGATAAAGAGGCTGCTTCGAGAATCCGATTTTGTATCATGGTTTCTATCTCTGAAGACATTATCTAGGAAATCCGTGTTTGAAATTGTTTCATGACATCCGGCGATGGAAAGATTAAAGGAGGCGTCTGATTGAATGGAATACGGGCGGCAGCAATTAATTTGAGAATAGTTTTGGGTGGCCGAAACTTGGCCCATGCCTCTTGATAAAACACCAGACAGCCCCCCACAAACCTAGAGTCATATGCGCCGACTCCTGTTAGCTTCATCCTTTTGGCCCCCCTTTCCCTTTTAACTTGCTCGTCAAAATTTTGTCTCTTATTTTTTCTTTATTTTGGTTTGACTTGTTGAAAACAAAAGGAGGGTTTTTCACGAGATCTATAAGCAATCGGTGATTTAGAAGTCACTGGTAATACAACAAAAAAAAAAATTATGAACAGAATTACTTGAAACTTGGTATTAATGCTCTTCAACACAAATTAATATGTGTTTTAACATCTTTCTAAATTCATCTCATAAAGGGGTAAAATAGGACATGTAAGTTTGAATGAAGCCTACCTTTTTAGAGTTTTAAATTTGAAGTTAATTGCGCATCAGGTTTGGCGGCCCAGACGATTAAATGTTTTAATGCAATATTTACACATTCATTTTGAGCTAAAAAGGCATTAGATAAGGCAGCAAAACTGCGTTCCTATCTGATACCATCTGAGTGGAGTAAAAAGATGTTCTAAACGCCTGAATTCCTCATTTTAGCTCAAGAAATGCTGGGAATGCCACAGATTTCTTTTGAACCTCGGTGTACCGTACAGAACTCCAATCCAGAGAATCAAATCTTTGCATTGACGCTATTTTTGCAACCCGCTCAGGATTCGCCCTTGGCATAGATGGTTCCTTGACGGCCACATTTAGCTCGGCAATATCTTTTAATTCACCTACTGGCCTTAAAAACGGATCATCGAGAGAATTATTTACTGCTGTTGGAGCAGCCGCCACAGGAAACGAGGAGCTCGAGGGTATGGGGTGCATTGCAGCGTAATTCACACAAAATAAATTATTTATATGACTCACCAACTGCTGCGATAACTGATCAAACCTGCGATCGATTTCTTGACATGAATCGGAAGACCGACTATGACGTCGTCGCTTTGGTGGCGGTTTATCCTCCTCGCTCGAACTTGAATTTGAATCCGATTATTCACTCGAAAACGTGTGTGTATTTTTCTCCAACCGATTCGAATCACAATCACCAAAAACGTCCACATTATTATTAATCACTGGCTCGATATTTTTTTCATTGTTGTCCATTTTACGATTTAAAACAATACTTTAACGTAACGAAATAAAACTGTAACTTTCTACTTTAATCTCGAAAGTTTAAACAATAATTCTACTTTTGAAAACTCTAATATAACACAACGGTCGTTTTTCTTAAACAAGCTTTCTGATAAATCTAGCGATGCGTGCAACTCCATTAGAACGCAACAATGATTTTAGAAATGGCGGTATGCCTTACACAGGTTGCAAAAGTTAGTTTCAGTTTTGGCCACGGTTGGCGCTAAAAGCAGAAAAATGTAACGGAAGAGAAAGTAATCTAGCGGAAAGCGACAGTTAAAGTTGATGTACTCTCTCATAATTGGACTTCTGATGTCGAACGGAACACATAATACAAAATTTGTGTGAACTTTACATTTGTTAAATAACTTTATACATGTATAGATAAAATAATCATGTAAAACATCTTTATTTTTCTTTTATAGAGTAGCTCAAGCTTATTTAAATCAAAAGAAACTAGATGCTGAAGCAAAATTGCTTCATCAAGGTGCAATAAATTTTGCTAAACAAACACAACAGTGGCTTGCACTTGTGGAAAACTTTAGTAGTGCTCTTAAAGAAATAGGGGATGTGGAAAACTGGGCTCGGAGCATTGAAAATGATATGAAAATTATAACCGACACTTTGGAAAGAGCGTATGAGACTGCACAAGAAAAACCAAGTACTAGCAAATAAAGATAAATATGTTTTTATTTTTTATTTTAAGTAAGTGTTCTAGAACATGTAATAAATAATTTAATATTTATGCAAAACTGAAATTTTTGTATTTTTAATAAACTTAAAGTAAGATTATGAATACTTTATTCTTAATAATTATATTCATTGAGAACAATATTTTAGAAAGGATAATAATAACAGTCAAATAAATTATATCAAGTTAAACCAAAGCTTTTGATTCTTAACAAATTAAATATTTGCTGATTCTTAAAGCTTGAGTATTTGTTACAGATGATGATACTATACCTATAATACAAATATGCCAAATCCCTTACAAAGAAGTTAGACAACACTAATTTAGACTATACATTCAATTATTTTTCGTTACTCAAATAGATAATGGATGCCATTTTCTGCAAACAAATTACTTTATTTAATATTAGTATACTAAAATATGGTAAATATTGTAAAACCTATAATATGATAAACAACTCATAAAAAACACCATTCTATGTATATAAACAGGGCACTGTCCCTATCATACTGATGAGGACAATGCCCTGTACACTACCTGTTAGTGAAAACTGACTACCCTAGAGAATAAATTAAAGAGTGCACTGTACTAAATTGATTTATTGGACTACACACAGAGCTAACCCGACAATAAAATCATGCGATTAGCAACGTAAGCTAAGTCGTTCTAGCCGACCAGTGAACTGCTGTCGTACCCTGACCATTAATTCGTTAAGATTTACGAGAACATTCATTGTGTGTTTCTTAATTTAGAATATTCTTATAAACAATGTATCTTTTTGGGATCTATTTTTTATCTTTTGTTAATTCTTCATAACAAATCGACACATACAATGCCATCTATTGATATGTATTTGAGCTGCTTTTTCGTTGTACCCTACGAATAAATAATAAGTCAGGAAATGTAACTGCGTTAAAAAAATGACCCAACAAAAGTCGTGTCCAAGTAGGCGGGGCTTAAAAGTCGTGTCCAGGGCATCATCGCTCATCAGTCGGACTTTATTCTTACAAGCGAGCACATGTCAAATTTCGTGTACGTTTAAATTTTTATCATTGTGCAGCATGTTTTGTGAAGTGGTGCAGGAGTCATGCAACATTAAAATGTCCAGGAATCACGTTTCACTAGTAAGTAGTAGCAAAATTATAATAATTATATTCAAAGGTGTTCAAATGACAAATACGTTGTCAATCCGTGATGGCCAATGCAAAATGAAGTCAATCAATTTTTTACCTAATTTAGAAAGTATTTTTTTTCTTCTTGATGAAAATAAATTGAAATGTAAATCGGTAAAATTTAGATATTTTATAATAGTAATGTATTTTGCTAATTTTGTTTAGAATGCCGCAGTACAGTTGTGCAGTAAGTACCTACTGTTTTACTATTAAAATAATGACGTTATTATAACCAAATCAGAAATTAAGTAGCTTTTTCATGCAGATGATTCGTCCCGAAGAAACGTCGACTTCTTTAAGAGATACTACAGAAAATGAAAAAATAAACAATATTGGACGATTACAGTTAACATGTAATATAGGTTCGGCTTTTTGACTGGTGGGAATAACTATATAGCATTACAAAAGTTCACTCCATTGTTTGGTCGAATTAAAGCACGTTTAATTTTTCAGGCTAATGAGAATTCAGCCTTTACAAATTTGAAGTGTGATTTACTTAAGTTACTCAATAAAACAATTACCCTCAAGCGCTTAAGGCACAAAAACGTAAGGTTCGAGTAATATTTTTTGCACTTAATCTTTAGGTTCGATATTTTTGTTTTAGCTGTATATATACGTATCTATTTCAAATAGAGACAATCTTTCATAGAGTTGAAACTGGTCCTCAATGTTATGTTCAGGAGGATAATAGCAACACTGAATGTAATGACGGCGCGCGTTAAAGAAGAACCAAGAAAAACAAAAAATAATCTTCTTTTAATTCTTTTAAAAAAGGTGTTCAAACCCGTGTCCAAAAATTCATCTTGAATTTGGTACCTATGTCAAAAAGGTTGTTAAACGTTTCTAAAAAGCTAACACTTGCATCTGTGTTTTGAAAATCAGGCATGTTTATTTGTTGCGAACAAAACTTAAATGCTACAGCTACACTTTGAGTTAAGGTTTGAGTAGCTATTTTCACGTTAATAAAATGTATAATCGTTGAATTTCTCTTTTAATGTCTTCTAGACTAAACCCTGATTTTTTTTCTTAAATAAAAGTAGCCTGAGTTACTCCTTATAACATCAGCTATGTTTCAGTGCAAGTTCCGTCAAAATCAGTCCAGCCGTTTCGGAGATTAGCCGGAACAAACAAAAAGAACATTTATTCCGAAATTTATTCCGTATATTATGCATTTCATCGCATTAAGTAAAAAACTGTTGTTTTCACATTACAAAATTTTTTATGCATTTTTTAATCATTAAATTCACCCACAATCAAAACATCTATCTATCTATTTATTCAGCCCCTTTTTAATGTCCCACTGCTGGGCACGGGCCTCCCTTCAATACGAGGGGGATCAGGCCATAGTCCACCACGCTGGCCAAGTGCGTGATGGCGGACTTCATATGTCTTTCTAAAACTTGTTAGGTTCTCTGAGACATGCAGGTTTCCTCACGATGTTTTCCTTCACCGTAAGGCAAGTGGTAATCATGTTAGAAATGATTCGCACATGAAAATATCAGAGGTGCGAGACCCGGGATTTGAACTCGCTTCACTCGGTTTCCTAAGCGAACGCGTTACCACATCACCCATCAAAACATCACCCACAATAAAATTGATGTAATACAAATATATATACAATATAATATTTAAATTGATGATGTATGTTACGGACGACGAGTCTACACGACGATAGAATCTAGCTTAAGTCACGCTCCTTTAATGTACAATACGATAAGAATTTAGACTCACTCTAGTAAGAACCATCCTCGTACTTCAACGAATATTCTAAAAAAATTTAGCGAAATCGGTTCAGCTGCTCTCGAGATTTGCGCTTAGCAACACATTCAGCGATTCCTTTTTAAATTTAGATGATAAAAAAGCATTAATGTTCAGCGAAATCATCAATCATTTTTCATCGATAAAAGCTTGCAAGGTTCCGTTCATTAACACTAATTTAATTTCGAACAATTCTTGCATTTGACTATATCTACATTGTTCATTGAAAATAATTTCATTTGTTTTGCATTAAATACTTAAAACACTCGACTAAAAAATTGATCATTTTATTCGGAAAATAATTAGGGGCCTCCACTCTTTTTTTGGCCCGGGGCCTCCACACCCCTAAATGCGGCCCTGTGTATATCTGTATGCATTTCACACAAAAAATGCTGAACTGTTATTAAATAAACGCATAGTGATAACCTAATACTCGGGACAACATTTTACTTTTTGGGTGTTAGGGAAAAAATGATGAGAGTGAATTTTCTACGATGCGACAGATTTAGACTACAGTATAAAGTTAGTCGTTATTAGACTACAGTTGGAGTTTAAATCTTCCTCGAGTATAATGTAAAGTGATGTCTATATATAATATTTATTCAGGTAGGTATTTCTATATAGTCTATTTTTCCTTACGTGTCTTAAATTATAAACCAAATATGGCGTACAGATAACCAGAGATACTTCATAGAGATGGCAATGACGAATGAATGATTGAACTTAATGCTCTTTTTGTAGGCGAGTTATCAACCGTTTAAAACGATTTATTTGGGGGTTTAAAACGGAAACATTTTATTTAAAACGTTTTAAATCGGTTGTTTTACATAATATATAGTCGCTTGTTATTAAATACAGTGACTGTACGCTAATATTATTTCTATTAGTCCAGCTATTGATTATAAAAAAATATATTTTGAAGTTATACTTCTTTAAGCCCGCTTGGAAAAAAATATAAGAATAAAATTTTTATGATGTGCGCGCACACCGACAGCCAAAAAGCGATATGATGAAATAGCTGAAAACAACATGATGAAGTTAGCTGCATTCCTTTTACAAACAGAGAGTTGTGACATCCCATCAATATTAAGAATATGCGTAGTTGTCAACTTCACCGATAAAAGAAATGAGATATAAAAACATACAACATTCTAAAATAAATTTAAAACGTAATTTCTTGTTTTTTCTGCCACAAAATTGTTTGCTATTTAAAAAAGAACTTCTTAAATTTGAACAGTGAATTATTTACACAGAGTAGATAACTTAGGATAAATAGAAGTTCAAGATTTTACTCGGATAGTTTTTACCAGTAAAGCAAGTTTTTGCAAGAGTGACAAATGTTGACCTTACAATATAAAAACAGTAACATGCGTATAGCGTAAAAAAGGTATAAAAGATTATCCGAATATATCTTGTATGTACTCAAAATCTAGTTATAACGAAGTGAAAAGTGACTCAAATGGTTCGTGTAAAATATACACACGGTGCTGCTGCGCCAGTTCCTTTGGCTTGTACTTGGCTGTACACGCTACCGCGTGTCTTGATACGGGATGAAATCTTTAGCTATTTTTGTTCTGTTACGCCCACAGAGTACATCTGGTTACGCCAAAGAAGTAGTACTTCTTACGTGCGTACTAAGTACACGCGTTTTTTTTATATTCTTACTTAACAATGAGGATGAGATAAAAAGTATGTGTACCTATATACATTTTATTTTTTGATCACAACAGACCAGACTCCATAGCCACAACTCAGAAATAAAAAATAAATAAAAAACGGGTATTTACTAATCTAGGTAGGCCATCTTTAATTTAGAGCTTTCAAAAGAGACACAAAATATAGATTTATCTTGTTCTCAATTTTCATTCTTTCAAAAATTGGAGTGTATCCGGCATTATCAAAAAAAAAATACATTTGACACTTCCGTCTCCCATTTCTTCTGTAGACTGTAAGTGTAAATGTTATAATTTTTGAGTCGAAAGTCGAAACTGTCACCAAATCTTATCCGATGTTTGAAATAAAAAAAAGACTGAGCAAGAACTTCTCAACCTACGGTAATGGTATCCAAGTCAGGCCTGTCACAGAATCGAAAATTCAAATTTAAAAATACCTAAATATTCTTTTATCTAGATCTAAATTTAAAATGAAAAAAACATGATAAAGTAGCTAAAAAAATAATTACGAGTATACATTAGGTCGTAAACTGGAGTTAATAGTCACATCGATCGGGTGCATATTATTGAGTTTTTAAAGATTACTTTTGAAACTTAAGCGTACTATCGTCTATCGTACGCACGTCAGTAATTTATATTTTATTGCATTAGACGGTCGTGTTGCTAACTGCTTGTAAAATTCACATTGAAATACTTCCCTAAAATGTCTGTAGACTCGACACCAAAAGTGCTTTCAATTCAAAGTCATGTTGTCCATGGGTATGTGGGCAATAAAAGTGCTGTTTTCCCTTTACAAGTAAGTATTCATATCAGCAATATAATAAGTATCTAACAATTAGCTTCTTGTGTTATGTGTCTATATGAATATGACATATTTTTCATAATTTTTAACAAAATATTCTTCTAATAATTACATTATATTTAATATAATATTTTACTTTTACTAATCATATCTTTTAAGGTTTTAGGATTTGAAGTTGATGCTATAAATACAGTTCAGTTCTCAACACATACAGCATATGAACATATTAAAGGAACAATCCTGAAATATGAAGAAATGGCAGAGATAGTGGACGGTTTAATATTAAATAATCTTGACTACTATACACACTTTTTAACTGGCTACTCCAGATCACCAGATTCTTTAAAGCAAATTGCCCAAATAATCAAAAAACTGAGAGAGAAAAATCCAAATTTAATATATGGTAAGAACATTTTCTTTCTCATTTAATTACATAAACATTTTTCTAATAAAAAATGTCAATAATCATGTAAGTTTACATATTATCATTAGTATAATATTGTTATTACTGATGTTTACAATATATTTTAATAATATCTGCCTATCAAACTATCAGCCTATCAATAATAGATCGTTATGGCCAATAGTTGCATAGAATTATAGGAAATCATATCTTATAATGAACTAAAAAGAAGAAAACAAGTTGAAGATGGAACATACTATTATCCTGTTAGAGACATACACACATGCAGCTATTCTAAAACATGTACCTACATATTATGCATGTCTTACTGCATAATACTTATTATGTTCCTATGTCAACTTGTTCTCTTCTTTTTACTTCACTTATTACATAATCAGGTATTTTATTTATTGTAAATAATATTTTATTTTAGGTCAATTAGTCATTTTTATTTTCGTCATTAAAAAACCTCTTAAATACCTGTATTTTGACACCCCACTCGATTTATTGAGATTTTTTTTCAAAACACAGATTGGCGTTTAGAATCCGCCATTTTGATTTTTAATTATATGATAAGCCATGCCACTCGCATTATCAAGATTAATCGAATGACGTATTAATCATCAAATTCGGTTAAGACGTTTAGTAATTACGAGGGAACATATGATTGGACATACATGCATACAGGTTAAACACAACCCTCCTTTGGGCTTTGCCGTAGGTATAATAAGAAAATAAATATTCTACATAGAATTGTATCACTAAATGATTAGTATTTATAGTGATATACTATCATTCCTTATTAAATGGTTTATTGCTATTAACGCATATGATAAAATCTTATCATTTAAACTCTATAGTACAATTGTACATATAATTATTAAATACTAGTATTTTTATTTTTTTCTAACTTGGATATATCGAATTATTTTCCTAGTGTAAATTATTACACTAGGAAAATAATTCGATTATTAAATTAATTTAATTAAATTAACAAGTGCGATGTTTTACGAATAGATTACGGTGTTTAAACTGTAAAGTGACTGTAAAACATTTCTAAATATATATAATTTTAATAATTTATTAGTGTGTTGTTATATTTAATCAGTTTTTTAGTTCTAAGATATAATAAATAATATAGAATTTAAAAGTATTTAAATTATCTACTTAATTGTAATTGGGTTTTTAATGGTCTATAAAAATTTATATTTATTTTGTTTTATCAGGCTATGGAACTTAATTTTAAATTTAAAATTACAGATACTTTATCGAAATAATAGTTTTTTTAGAAATTCTAATAATTATTTAAACATAATATAACTAATAACCTTCACTTTTGTTTATTCTTGAAAAACAATTCTATATAGACCTGATAAGCTTATCATAATATTAATATTCAGTAACTAAATAGAATATAAATATCTTTACACATTACATCATACACTTCTAGAGTCTTTACTCGTACAGTCATACTTATTACTTTATTTTATTTGAAACTAGAGACTCACCCTTGCTTCGCTCGGGTTCGTCCCTGGCTTGCTTCCCCATACACACTTTCATCCCCATTCTCACCCCTTAAGGGATGATTTCCGGGATAAAAACTATTTCACACACTCACTTTTCATATCATGAGATTTAAAAAAATCTTATTTTAATAAAAAGTTTTTGTTTTTTTTTTCTTCTATATAAAACTTGTCCTGAAAAACAAAGACAAAAAAAAAGAATTATCCAATTTGGTGCAGTCGATCGTAAGTTATACGCGTACATACATTTCGGTGATTCATTTTTATTTATATAGATTGAAAAGATTTTGCATAAAATAAAGGCTGTTTTTAAATAATCTTTTTAAAATTGCAACCAGTTACCAAAAAGTTTAAACAAACTTTTGTAGTGATTTATCCTTTTTATCCGAGATATAAAATACTTCATTAATTAAATTGATTTTTTTTTCTTATTTTCACCGATTTTCAAATGAATAATAATAATAATTTATCATAAAATTGAACAAAAATAAATTAATTTCTTTGGCCTATATTTTATTTATTGTGAGTTCAAAAGATTTCACCTACCATGTCAATGCACCTACCTAATATCACTTCAATTTAACATAATACTGTAAATAACTGCTAACCTGATTTCTGGGTTCCAAGAAAAACACGTAATGAGAAACCTCTTAAACATAATAATTACATATGCTTAAATTCATTTTATCCATAAACATAACATGCTTACAATCGATCAAACAGTATTTAGAGGTTCCAATAATAATTTCCCTGTCAAAAAATATGGTAGTGTGTTTGTTAGTTCTCTTTCTTTCATAAATCATCTCGGCAATGAAATGGTGAATCAGCAGGAGAAAGTGACGTAGGCTTTTATTTATCCTAACATAATAAATTCCTGTAGAAACCATATGCCAAGAGAGTCTACGGTTAAAATTTATCTAGGAAGGGTCATGAAGGCCCAAGAGTCTATAGTCTATACAATACTTTATGAATTACATATTATTTCGTTTTTTTTTTATTGTGGACTATTCCTTACACAACATATTCAACAAGTTCCGTCATTGTCTTTGGCCAAATTCGAACCCAGGTACAGAGTTTAAAAAGTGCTCCTATTCAGCTGCCATTCTACAAAATTATATTATTAGAACTACACAAAAAATTATAGAGACAGAGATAAAATGCTTGGAAACAATAAACAATGCATGTATTTCCTTATATGCTAAATATTACATTGAATCAAATATTCTGTTAATAATTTAAAAATAGAAGTCGATATATAACTAGTTTTTTATCAGATGACTGTTTTTTACAAAATTAATTGTTTTTATTCTTCTCTAATTCAAACGCTCCTATGTCATAGTAGAAAAAAAAGCTAGTGTTACATCAAAACCTTTTTATCCGAATCGAAAAAGGTTCTACATTAAGCTGTATTATTAGTATATTTTAAGCGATATCTTCATGATTGGCTAGGTTTAATGTGAACGATATGAATAATTATTTTTTAATGAATAGGCTATAACTACCGCAACGGTAGTCCCATTAAATTGCAAAAATAAATCAACACCTAAGAAGAAAATAATAATAATTTCTAAGGTGATGTTCTATTGTGCACATAACCTTATAGTGTAGGTACTCACAAATATGTTATTTCAACATTTCTAACAGTGTTTTCCTTAAGCATAATGTTAGCTGTAATAAGTGACACTATAATATTGCATATTTTGTTTTTTAACCAATGAACTTATATTTAAATTTGTGAAACTAAATATTTACATTGAACCTCATATGATTCATTTTATACTAGCGACTTTCCCTCGCTTAGCTCGGTGCGTCCCTAAGCTTGAATGGTTTAGGAACGCATATAAAATATTTTTGTTGCAACAGAATCATTCACAGGCGTATACAGAAAAAAAAATTTAAAAAACCTACTTCCAGGCACTAAAATGTAAAAAATAACTAGACGGGGATTTTCATTTAGAGTAGATACCTAATTAGATATTTTCAAAGTGCCAGCCGATGCAAAGCAAATCTAATGTATTTCGTTACGTAAAATACATATTTACCTATTAGATATTCATATCTTAAAATATTGTCGGCTGGCACCGACTTCGAAAATATTATAATAACATATTTGAAACAAAAAAAATCCAAATCGGTTCAGGCGTCTTCGAATAATCGGTGAACGTAAAAGATTCCGACGAATTTAGAACCTCCTCCTTTTTGGGAAGTCGGTTAATAACCCACCAGAGTGTTATCACAATCGGAGCAATAGTTTAGGAGTTTATTTATTTTTATACAGAAGAAGATAGATTAAGAATATACATACCTACTGCATTTACAGTGTGTGATCCAGTAATGGGTGACAATGGAAAAATGTACGTGCCTGAAGAAATATTACCAGTGTATAGGGATATAGTAGTCCCTTTAGCAGATATTTTAACTCCCAATCAATTTGAAGCAGAACTAATAACTGGTTTAAAAATGAAAGATTTGGACGGTGCCCTTAAAGTGATTGAAGCACTTCATAACAAAGGCGTTAAAACTGTAGTACTTTCTAGCACGGTCTTGGGAGATGAGAAAAATATGCTGGCGATTGCAAGCAATAAAGGTATTTATATATTGTTTACTTACAGTTCTAAATTGTAATATTTTTGTGTTTTGCTTAATAATTATGTATTGTGTGTCTTACTGTACTGTACTTCGGATGTCTAGTGGTTAGAATTCACGGTTGTCAATCCGAAGGTTCTGGGTGCGTGTCACGGGTCGGACCAAGTTCAGTCATTGTGTTATTCTGTTAAGAAATTCTCAGTAACAGCACAGAATCATTAAGTTGGCTGTGATTCATTCCCGTGCCTCGGAGAGCAAAGCCATCGTTTCTACGCCTGATTTCTCACTTCCAGTGTAGGTTTGTCGTCCCACCAGAGTTAAAGGAAGAGACTTGTGTTTGCGCGTACACATGTGCACTATAATATATCCTGCACAGTTGGCTAATCTCTGTGAGATAGGCCGCCATGGCCAAATTCGGTCAGAAGAAATTTTATAATTTTAGTGTGAAACTCAAATAAAGTCATGGTCATGGGCACTTCTAATTATGTATGTATTTATGTATGGATGTATGTATGTATGTATATACGTATGTATTTATGCAAGTACACCGCCTACCATTTTATATACTGATTGCTCCACCCTAAGGTTCGTAAGTAAAGGTCGTGAGGAAACCTGCATGTTTGAGAGAATCTAGCAAGTTTTCAAAAGACATGTGAAGTCCGCCAACCCGCACTTGGCCAGCGTGGTGGACTATGCCCTGATTCCCCTCGTGCTGAAGGGAGGCCCGTGCCCAGCAGTGGGACGTTAAAAAGGGCTGAATACAAGGTTGCCTGGAAGAGATCGCTTCTAGCGATAAGGCCGCCTGCTGTACATCTTTTTTTTTTGTTATATATTTCACTTCTTTATTTATTTCTTGTGTGGTCTGCAATAAAGTGTTCATTATTGTTATTATTATTAATTATGTCTGAATATATATAAATATACAGATCCCGTAAAACATAGTAATTAATAGTTAAAGTAAAAACGCTTTCTACCAACTCTAATATTAGGACTTGTCAAAATGAAACAAATGGAGGCCCGATCTAGAAGGTTTTACTAGCGTTGCCATTAAATACTTCCATCCTGTATAAAATACATAATGGATATACTAAAATATCAGCTAGATTATATACAATTACTGTATTGCTATCCATAATTGATAAATCGAGATTTCACGTACCTATTTAGAAGTTTCAAATCGATATGGTAGTTAGAAATAGGTTGAAATCAATTTCCAAGCTTTGGATTACTTATATAAGTAGTTACAAGCGAAGCTGATAAAGGCATGAAATTTCATCAATTTTAACGATTAATTACTGTTAGTTTAACTTTAGTTATTCGTCTAAATAGTCTAGCGGATATCATGTAAGGTGCAGATTCGAAGGTTATGTGTTCGAATCCCGGGTCAGGCCAAGAAGGTATGGTTATCGGGTTTTTGTTAAGAAATTCTAAGGAACAACCTAAAGATCTTTCACCGATCGTGGTGAATTATCGTCACACCGGAGTTTGAGATTGGAAAGACTAGAAAGTGTGCTTGCACTATATGTATTATCTCCTGCACACTTGGCTGTTCTCGGTAGGATTAGCCGCCTTGGCCGAAATCAGGCAGGAGGTCATTATTATTATTATTTTTCTTAGTGTTGCTTTTATGGTCATCGTCGGAATTGAAAATAAATATCTATGTAGTGATTTGATAGAGTCCAAAATCCAATTTAAAAAAGTCTCATTAGGCGTGCATAGAATTGGTGTGATAATCACAAATGACCTTAACCGAGTTTCGTAGCGTCACGATGAAGACACTTGATTTTGATATTGGATCTAAATTTTAACCGTTAGATTAAAATAGTGGTCTCAATTGAGACTTGTTTATTTTTGTCAATTGATATTTTATGTTATATCTAACTGTGACTTACACTCGCTTCGCTCGAGTGTGTCCCTAGGACCTAATAGCAGCCAAAGTGTTACTACAGGTCATTTTTGTATTAAAAATTTCATCCAAATCCGTCGAATTGTTTCAGCGTGAAGAAATAAAAACATACATACATACATACGTACAGGTTAACATTTTCACATATATAATAGTAGCCCGATTACCTACTCCGATTATTATTGTAGTTTAAACTTGCTATTTCCAAGAACGCCCCCTTCTTAGCAGATTTATACCTGTGATCAATTCGCTCACGCGGAAATTCTCTGACATTAGTCATAGTAAATCATTAATCTCTCAACGATCGCGGACACGCCGGCGTTACAGTTAACAATAGATTTCTTAGAATTTCTTAGAAATTTATCTGGAGGTGCTAATAGAAGTATTCAGCCTTTTTTAACGTCCCACTGCTGAGCACGACGGGTCTTCTTTTATGCGTCCATAACGGTAGCCAAGCATGTGTTGGCGGACTTCACACCTACTGCTACTAATATTAAATAATACTGCGCAAACTGTGACATTAATTTACTTTCCATTTATACCGTTTCAGACACCTGTTACCAAATTGTGATACCGAAATTGAACGCATCGTTTACGGGCACAGGAGACTTGTTTGCTGCTTTGTTTTTGGCGTGGTTCCACAAAACCAATAGCGATTTAAAAATGACCTTAGAAAAAACGGTAGCAACGCTTCAGCATTTAGTCAAGGACACATATTCTAAAGCAAGAGGTAAATATAATTTTTCCTGCTTACTTTAGATTTCATTTTAAGAAATATGTATATATTTTTATTACTTACAATGAAATTTGAACGTATGATGCACGACCTACTTATTAAGTACAAGCCATTTCATCAAAAATCAACGATTTAAGCGTGACAAAGTAAATTAATACTATATTTAATCCCTCCATGACCGCGGACACGCCGGTGTTATAGTTAACAATAATTTGTTAGAAATTTAACTAATTTGTCAGAAATTAACCTGGAGGTATTAAGTAAATTAATACTATATTTTTTTAAGCTACCTGTAATACACGATTCTGCCCGCGGCGTTACTCGTGTAAAAAGAATTTTCATGAGATTACTTTTTCTATAAAATTCACATTTACACATTATATGTTTAAATAAAAAAGTATTTGTTGACTTATACAACAAAGTAACAAACAGATAAGATGGTTACTCTCACATTTATAATTGGATTTATCGAATGTTATTGTTGGATACAATCTTAATTAATAGGCTGAGTTAGACGCTTTAGTTCAGCATTTCTTTGGTTTAGCAGATAGTCATCTTATTAATGGTGCAATTCTATTACTATTTATGATATTGTATTTTACAGAAATTCATCCTGAAGGAAAAATCCCATGCTCCCTCCTGGAGCTCAGACTCATACAAAACAAGAGGGCTATAGAAGATCCTACGATTACTGTAGAAAGTACCAAAATAAGAGGCTAAAATTTTATTTAATTATTTTTATCAAGTACATATCTCGATGGTATCAAATTATTACTTTATTAGGTAACTAGCGACTCAACCTCGCTTCGCCCGAGTGCGGTCCTAGGTATCTTTTGTAAGTTACCGACTTCAATTGAAATTATTATGCTTTCTGACACTAAACTAAAAAAACCAGCACTCTGCGGTAATTAAGCTGCCTATTAGAGAAAGATTTTTTTTAAATCGTAGCAGTAGTTTCAGAGATTACGCTCTACATACGACAACTTTAACTGTACTTTAACTTTGACTGTTTCGTGGGTCTATAACCGCTCCGTGCACGGCACGCGACGGTGCCGGTCGGTGACGGAACGGTCTAGTGGGCAGAGTCTCATACTTTGCAATACAAAGATTTTTTTTTTGCCTGACAACGGTTCTAGCACGGTCATGGTATGAGAGAGACGGTGTAGAGAGCAAACTTCTTCATATGTTATGTTTTATTATGTAATGTTACAAGTATCGGTGACGTGGCTGAAATCGGTCTGGACATTAAGTAATAATTTGATACCATCGCTTTTCTTATTTAAAGCTGTAAAAATAATAAAGAATGGGGAGAATTGTTATTATAGTTGTACTAATAGTACAACTTCGAGCTTGGACTAAATTGATTCGTTTTGAAGAGTCCCATACAATATAGGTGGTTAAAAGAACATTTTTGTTCAAATTTCAAATTGCTCAAATCTATAATTTTTTTAAATAGTTATAACAAAGCTAAAAAGCGCCGAAGCTTTATATTATATTATCATAGAAATGATGATTTTTTTTATACATAATAGCATTTAAAAATAACTTTGTAAATTTGTTTGTATTTCTTCTTTTACATATAGCTAAAAATGTATGAAATTAATTATTATATTAAAATTTCCTATTTTTAAAATATTATAATATAAAGTATATATGAGTTAGACTCATTTTTCTCTGACGGCTTGAATTGTTTTAGATATAATTATTAATAAGTTGCAGATTAGTATTAATAAGTTGCATATGACCAAAAATGAAGTCTTCCATTATGAAATAAGGTGTGTGATAAACGCAAGAATGTATAATGTTTTTGTTATTGTTCTTAATTTTATTTCCAAGCAATTGTTTTATCTAGTTTATTTTAAACATTGGGTACATTATAATAAATTATTTATGTCTATTATACAATATGTTTTATTATTTATTAACACATCCATAATAGTAAGGGAGCCCATTAGGGGATTTTGGAATTTACTCAAGCGCGGCAGATTAACGTAAGCGTACCATAAAATAGAAGTCCTCTGTATAAGGTCGCGGTCTAGGGTAGCCTAACAAAATATTTAAAATTATTTTTAATTATTTTGTTTTAAATATATTTAATAAATATTTGATAAATTAGAAACACTTGAAACCGTCAGATTAAGGTGTGGTGGTCGAATTACATGTTGAAAAGTGTGCAATTCAATAAGCTGCCGATTTCCACAAGCAGAAGAAATTTTTACAACAGAGTAGTACAAGGTATCCCCCTTATGTTAATCTGCCGCGCTTGAGTAAATTTCATAATCCTCTCTTGGGCTCTTCAACTATAACCCACTTAAGTGTATCAGGTTATTTATAAAAGATCAAGTAGTTTCTTATGATTTCAAAATTAACAAGATGAATTTAATGTTTAAGCTGTAATTTGTTGTTTGTTGTGTTGTAATCTGTTGGATTGTTTTGGGCATTTTAGAAGTAACAAAGTAAAGAAGAAGCGAATTCGCAATCGAAAATAAAATCCATAAAGTCCCAATATCATAAAACTTATTTGAGAATATTCAATTAAATTGAATTATCATAAGTTGATAAAGATAAAATGCTAATAAACTGCTATCTGTACATGGAAGATATATGGGAAAAACTATAATTGGGGGTCTTTATTTACGCAATAGAACCCACAACAATGATTTTTAGAATTTTTGTTGTATTTGTGAGTCGCTAGTTAAATAATATTTTAATGACTATTAAATAAATTTATTATTAGTAGGTATTTATTATATATGTGTTTATCGTTTTGAAAGAGAAACTGCTTAGACTAAGATTTTGATACATTTATTATTTTTTCATCTTTTATAACTTCTAAACACTATTCATGTATTCTTCGATATTTGTAAAGTAAAACGGAAAAAATCATCATAACAAGAAGTATCCAATGAAACACCCAAAAAATGCTATTATAATATTTAAGCACGACGTCGGTGTTCTTCACAACGAAGCAGGGAGTTAGGTAGAGGAGACAAAACACACGCATAATAGAAAATCCTATATCCCACGGCAACTTCATCTGAAATATTTTTTTAAGATTCATTATTGTTGATTGCTTATTACAATTAGCCAATACTAGTAATCCGTTTTTTTTTTAAGACACTATACATTCAGTATAAACTTTTTTCTAATAATATGAAAGCAAGAAAGCAGAAGCACTAATAATAATTAAAAAGTAACCTAGATGTTATTTTATAAAAGTAGTTTCTAAAGCCCTTATTGTATGGGTCACAAACAGGGTTCGAAACGATAATTATCATTGATAATTATCACGATAATTATCATGATAAATATGGGTTGATAATTATCTTTGATAAATATAATTGAAATTTAATTTGTAACTCTTCAAATTGTCGATCAGCTAATTGAACTCTCTGAATCAGCTCAACAAACTCAATCAGCAAACTAAGTTAATGTTGAGTTGAGGAGGATGAGCATGATATTCCACTCATTAAGGAGTCTGCTCACTACACCGTCTCATACCATGACCGTGCTATGAACGTATCAGGCACGGAAACAAGCGACACGGACAACTATGCCCACTAGAACGTATCATTCGCGTATCAACCGCGTATCATATCCGTATAGTTCCCGTTTTCTCAGTCGTAGTAGTTCACCTGTGTTTTCGCGTGAGACAGCCGCGTCAGGAAGAGCGAGTGAATATTTTTGTTACAAAAATTATTTCCTATACCTATACGATGGCTATCAGAAACTTGTCCGACAGAAAATTAATAATCATAGCCATTGTTTTAGACGAGGAAGAAAGAGAATAACATCAGTCGATAATGACATTACTAGGTTCACGCCGTTTTAAAAAAAAATAATTTAAAAGAAAATATTATCACTAGAAGACAAGTGTCAACACGTTAATAACGGGCTAAGAACGGTCATCATACGCAGTTATAAGTTATAACCCGTGTGCTCACCGTTTCGACGTCCGCGCGCGCCGATTCGCGTGTTGGTTGGTGACGGAAAGGTCTTGGTCGGTGACGGAACGGTTTGGTGGGCATAGTCTTATACTTTTCAATACAAAGGATATTTTTTTGCCTGACACGGCCCTAGCACAATCATCGTATGAGACGATATAGTGGGCAGAGACCTTTAATTAAACTAAATCGTGTCTATATAGTTACTTTTATTCTGATTTTATTTCCAAGTTTGTATATGTCAAAATAATGAAAAAATTAAAATAATAAAAGATTATCTTGATTGTTAAAAATGTATAATTTATTCTAACGTAAATTATGATAGGCAAATAATCAAATACCAATACCTACACAAGGATTGCTAAGTCTATATCTGTTTGATAATTATCGGATAATTATCTGATAATTATCTTGATAATTATCGAAACATATATTTATCTTGATAATTTCATACCCTGGTCACAAAGTATCTCCATGTTAGAAAGCTCTCCGTAAAATGACACGCAATACTTTTGCAATTATAATATCCAAATCATTCGAAAGGCAGATTACACTCTAAACTATCCTTATTTGGATTTTAATTTACTGTAATTATTAATTGATAGGTACTTAGCATTTTAATATTAGAAATATTTATATGCGTGTTCATAAGCACAATTGCGAAATAGGTTTCTTTATCTTTCATACATATGGGATCAGTTTAAATTAAACTATAAAGTTTTAAGTTCACTAACAGCGCCGGATGTGTCGTAACGAACACTATATTCTGCTTCAAGATGTACGTACACCCATAGCGTAGAAGCTATAATAAATTGAGGTATTGTTGGACCCGACCATACCGTCCAAGCCAATAGTGAAAAAGCACTTCTGCAAAATAGTAACAACCGTAATCTAAGTATTTTAATTAATTTTAAAAAAAGTTCTATTCTAAAGATAGACCTGGGTTCTTAATAGATAGGAAAATTATAAGCTTTTAAAAACAATTTTAATAAATTTGACGAGATTACTTTTTACGTGAGAAACAGATACATATGTATTGAATCATTAAATAGTTCTTGAAAACTGAAATGCCTATATAATATTATTATATAGGCATTTCAGTATATAATATATTTTTAATATTTAACAGGTACCAAAATAATCTATATTTTTTTTTAAAAATATTCAAAAGGGTACCTTACTTCCTTATTTGATTTTAAAAATGTTTTATGTACGTAAGCCCAGAACCAATAACGAGTCGGCATGTCCCAACTTTGCATGGTGTCTTTCATTTTTGGTCCTGACAGCAAGGTTTCATTGTTAAAGCATTTGAGCATCGTGAAATTATATTCTTCTTCCATTGCTACATCAGGAGAAGAGGTTCTGAGGATAATAAGAATATATGTAGATCTTTGAATTATAATAAATATAAAATAGGTACCTCGCCCTGTTTTCCAATTATAGAGCATAATGCCGCACTTTGGCGCACAAACACAAACAACGCGAAAAAACAGTTCTTAAATTTTCTGAGTTACGCGAACCACGCCAAAGCAGTAAAGTGTTCGATAGGGCGTTGCTGTAGTTGAAAAATTCGAAGTTGAACATTATGCTGCATAATGCGCTTTATTGCTGTAATTGGAGAATGCCCTCAGTCTGCATTAAGAAAGTTAGACAATCAGAATCGGTTGATAATTGACATAGCTTCATTTCAGGATATCTTACATTCCGAGTAGCTACCTATTGTATCTTAAAGTATTATTTTAGTCTTCACCAATCCTCAATAGCACATAAAAATCCTCTTTTATTCTTCTCTGTATAGGTAAGCACTATGAGATCTACTTACGCCAATGCTAAGAAACTTAATCGACAAGTCGGCCCAAATCCTGGCACAGGTTGACATTTAGCTGGGTATACACCGAAACCAGTCTCCGTAAAAACACTCGTACACAGCATCATAATCGCTTGGTAGTGCAGAAAGTACATAATAAGTTGCGGTATATTGTACAGGTATCGGAAGTCCGCCCCATGTGTGTCGTAGAATACATCTTCAAAATATAACTAAAATATTATACCTCTTTACTGTTATCTTTGAATAATATATTCCAGCCTTTTTATTATTTCTAAGATATCTTTAATTTTAACCTTTGGTGAATACTTGTTAAATAAAATCCAATATCCAATCCCACATACAGCAGCTTTTTTTAGTTTTTGTACTGTAATTATTCTACAATCACCTAGAACTCCAAATGGCGCATGAAAGTGATCATAAAAGATTTTCCAACGGTAATATGGCCCTAAAAAGTAAATGAAAAATATTACTTAAAGCATAATGATACTGAGATTAACACCTCCAGGTGAATTTCTAAGAAATTAATTAAATTTTTAAGAAATCTATTGTTAACTGTAACGCCGGCGTGTCCGCGGTTGTTGAGGGACTAACATTATACCCATTATTATGATTTTTATTTTACGCCTTTATAAGTAGCATGAGGCAATGGTAGCCCAGTGGTAACGCGCTCGCTCGGGAAACCGAGTGAAGCGGGTTCAAATCCCGGGTCTCGCACCTCTAATATTTTCATGTGCGAATTATATCCAACATGATTACCACTTGTCTTAACGGTGAAGGAAAACATCGTGAGGAAACCTACATGTCTGAGAGAACCTAGCAAGTTTTCAAAAGACATGTGAAGTCCGCCAATCCGCACTTAGCCAGCGTGATGGACTATGGCTTGATCCCCTCGTACTGAAGGGAGGCCCGTGCCCAGCAGTGGGACGTTAAAAAGGGCTGAGTACATAAGTAGCATTTAGGTACCTCTATGAAGTCCAATAAAATAATACGAATATGCAATTATATCAGCTGCGGTCGGCTCTGGCGTCATGGTGTCACTGTCTCCTATAGTCAATTTTGATACACCTTTGGCGTCTACTTTTATTTGAACTGCGTTTATTTCGAAGGCTAATCCAACTAACTTCAAAGCCAATGTTTGGTGCAACCAGATAATGTAAATATCCTTTATATTTAAATGTAGATAGAGTAAGTGGATCCATGTGTAGGCTAAACTCATTTGATGCAAATATCTGTAATGATTTATAGTGAATCACTACAAAGTGTTGAATTAATATCTAACTTATCAGTCCTCAGTGGCTTCCTAGCCTATGTGTTACCCCGGGTTATAGGCGTGAAGGGTAAGAAACGTCCCTATTGAAAAACTTCAATAAGATCTCATCAAAGCGACAAAAGCTACATAGAAACCAATAAAAGCCACATAGAAACCAATAAATATTTATTGGTTTCTATGTGGCTTTTTTAAACCAATAAATATTTATTGGTTTCTATGTGGCTTTTGTCGCTTTTGATGAGATCTTATTGGAGTTTATAAATACGGATATAACATATCACACACACATAAACGTTCGCCTATACACAGTAATCCGAATTCCGATTTCAAAAAGATGCTTAAGGTAAATACACTAACCGCCGATCGCAGCATTTAATAATAACGATGTTACCCCAAACCATTAGGGCTGAATGGAACACATAATGACCACATATTAAACAGACCAACAATAGTCCAAGTCCTGTTCCATAGTTACGTTTCAAGTCGATATCTGAAATTTTCTTGTAACAACTCCCCAGAGATATGCATAAAAATAACAAAGAATAATACATTATATATGCCATGATTCTTGCAGAAAAATCATCAATTTAATTGGGTCTAAACATAAATGCGTACTATTTATGTTATCATATATATACAGAAAATTTAAATGTTTTTTTAAACGTTTGTAGATGTTTATACATATAATCTGACAATTGCCTCGACTTTGATTATAATGTCTTGTTGACGATAAGTTGACAGTACTACATCATAATATTGTAGCGTAAAATATAATTGTACAAATCTTACTACATTCAAACTTTATGGACTTTTCGAATAGGGTATGTATGTATGTATGTTCATATATTTTTACAGGCAGAATACAATGCAGACATTAAATTAACAAAATTGACTATCTCCGCCAGCGTGTGCTCGCTACTCTATTAAGTAAGGTTCTAAATATATCATTTAAATCAGTACAAAATCAATATTACTGTAATAAAATAAAAATAATAACTTTCTCAAAAATATAGACTTCAATACATGATTATAGATTAAAAATTCATATGTATACCCGAATTGTCTTTTCTTTTTTTGATGTCGGTTAATATAATTAAATTACTCTGTTATAATATTATATTTCAATATACCTTTATAATAAAGGTTATGTATTAGACTACACTTATTCTATAGGAAAAAGAGGTAATTCTAATGAAAGACATTATGATTAAATAAACAATTTACTACACATATTGTAGGTTCACAATAAAAATATTTTCTAAAAGAGGTATGTACGATAACTCATTGTCTGATACAGATCTAGCTGTGTACGTTGTTCTATACCGGCTACTTACCAAAGAGTATATACGCAATGCAAACACTCGTGCAAAGCATGCCACGGAGAGAAATAAAAAAAAAACAATGTTTAAATGCATTTTTACATTATTTAATAATAATTTGGCATATCGGAATGTTGAGAATTTCAAACTCCACTTTTGGCCTACTAACTGTTCGTGAACTAATATATTATTATTAATTATTATCAACTAAAATGCCCGCAGTTGTTTGCACTTCCACACTAAACACTAACAGCTAAACAACTTGTACATGCAACTACAACTACACATAAATAAGTAGAAGCAACTAAATATAACAATGATTTTTGTTAATGTCAAATAAATAAAGCCTCCTTCTACATATATATATATATATATATATATATATATATATATATATATATATATATATATATATATATATATATATATATGCAATTTAAAAACCATATGTATCACATTAGACAGAATGATTTAATCAACCTAACCTATAATACTGTTCAAGCTGTAAATATTTATTACTTTTTAATAATTCACGCAATCATTCTTCAATGTAAATTCAATTGACTAGCATCCAATTCATATACTATTATTATATTTATTACATAGAAATATGAAGTATAGTTATATATATATACATAATTATGTTAGTTAAAATAAAGGTAGGTATAAAAAAATAAAATCTTACAGTGTAGAATAAATATTCCTTATTTGTATATAGAACTGATCATTATTAAATTAGCTTATTTTAAGTTATTGTAAACCAAATGGAGTAAGTAATATTTGTATCATGAATAACTCAACATATATAAGTAAAATTCATAATTATGGGTCGGAATCGATTATAAAATAGAAAAAAATCATGATCATTTATTGTATAAAAATTTAAATTTAATAACTAAAAACGATTTCAATGTCTATACAAATGGAGGACAGTAAATTATTTGATTGTTCCCGAATCATTTACAAAATTTCAAAAAAATATCTAAAAAATCGTTTACAGCTAGCTATTACAAAGTACATAGTTCCTTATTAAGTATGGAATAAAGAAAAATACTTTAAAAACGGAAGAAAGTTTCAAATTTTACTGCCCCTAAACCTTATAATTAACACCTACAAGCATTGACTTGCTTGGATAGGTTGTACGATTATCTAAGCCCAAAGGATTGCATGATACGAATCGTATTAAAGAGAAACTGTTCTAGTAAGATAGGCAGAACAAAATATCCAATGGCATTACAATACGTTCCTAATTTACTAGCTAATAGGATTTTTAAGTGTCCTTAAATTACATTACGCCTTTAATAATATAGTATGTACAATTCAAAATTTATTGCATCATTTTATAATATAACGTTACATATAATTATTTACTATTAATTCCAAATAACATCACACCCTGTCACCTTTGTATGTTAACATACTGAGGTGTCCGCACACTTCATGATAATTCACATCCAAATAATGCCTCATCCATTTTATTGCCTAAGTAACTATAAATTCAATATTTAAATACAAACTTCCAATTCTAGATCGTCTTAGAAATAAATATATTAAATTTAATTGATCTACAACACATTAATTTATAATAAAATTGTCAAATCATTTTTACTATCAGACCTATTAAATTTAATTCACTTCTAATGCATTCCAGATAGAGTCTAATTTTTTTAATTTAATATCTTGAAGTGTGATATAATTTCATAGAAGACAAAAAAACAATTAAATCTGTATCAGACGTGAACATTGTTTTAACATAATTGCATTGTTATAAATATAAAACTTACAAATGTCACTGTAAAAGCCACCGTTAACAATGTGTGATCCTGTAATAAAAATTCATAGACATGGAATATCATCAAAATTCTCTCTAATTATTTGCTTTTCATATTCTATCGTTACCACACCTACGGTAGTTAGAAAAGTATTGCCTCTATTACATATGAAAAGTGATTTAAACAACCCTACTTACACATGTCACTATTTGAATAAATAACAAATTGCATATGCAATATTAGATATGAAACGAATTTAAGTACCTCGTATCAATAACAAAACTGCAAAATCGATTCATTTACATAAAATGCAATGTAACAAAACTCGCACAAGAGAGCAGCAGAGATAAATAAACGTGATATTACCATACATATTGTGCAATAGACGGATGTAACTGAAGTGCTAGATTCTCTAATTACGATATAAATCGATTAATTTTCAAGCATCTATAATTATACATTTTTGAATCGAAATATCGAGACACTCTAATTTTTTTATCATTAACCAATGACGATTAGTCGATTTACGTTTTTAGTATTTTTATCTATTGCACAAACACAGACATATATGTAATCTCTATTCTACTAGATTTATATGTTATTCATTATTTATACATAGTTAATAAATACGACATCCAGAATGTTACATTAAAAATTACAAAATGTAATCCGTGCAAACAATTACAAAATTTACCCACATTAGAGTCACTGTAAAGGAATTTTATTTATACATCTCACCGATCGCTCCTATCTCAGTAATTCGTACAACAATTAAAAATGCGAACAGCATTTATTTAGTAATAATTGGCAGTCCTAATGGTCACTATAGTCCTTACTAACGAGCGCGGGCGGGGCTTCCCCGGGGCCGACACGCGTTCCTCTACTAGCATAAATCTATCAAATCAGAATGCCTGGATGAATCCACTGATGATGATCAACTAAAATACCCACAATGTCAGTTGACCGGACCGAAGTTAGCTTCCTGAGACGTCCACGCATGTATCAGCTAAGCCTCTGCCATTATTTAGTCCTAAAACCGCAAACTGTGGCGCCACTAGCGCTAACTTCATACCGGCCAACTTAGATTACACAAATATTTACGTCATAACGCTACAGCGCCATGACACGCCACTCACAAAATCCGCAATATCGACCACAACACTTAAGTTCGCACACGTGAGATTAACACTGACCGACGATTCCCTCCACGTGCAAATATTACGTTCCTAGCGCGACGTAAATAGTTTACATACCGGAATTTTTACTACATACATACAATTCGATATGCCACTAAGTGTCCTTCAATCCATATTGACTTACAGACCATACAATCGTATAATCTAAGATTTGTACGTATGTGGAATTTAAGACATACATACACCATTCAACGACGACTTAATGATTCCAATCCATATTGCATTTCCAATATGTTTGGATAAACACAATCTAGTACCTGTATATATGTATTGTTATATGACACATACTATCAAGCCAGTGTGTGTAACAACAATCGTCTAGTGTTGTATCTGCATATATATATATGTATGTATGTAGCAGATAGATCCGGCACATCCACAACAGCTCACTTGATGAGTTGCGCAGCGCTCTTAGAGCGTCGGAACATCTTTGCGCCCTTGTTGGGCGCAAGCTCGTGCTAGTTGGTGCCGTTTGGTGCTCGCGGCGCGGGGGAGGCAGCGGGCGGCGGGCGGCCGAGCGGTACCTCCTTGGAACCGTCTGTGCCGTATATCTTGCCCGCCTTCTTCGCCATGGACGCGAGCAGCTCTTGCGAACACTTGTGCGCCGAGCGGAGGGATAACGCCCACTCTTTGAGGCCGATTTCGTCCTGAATATCATTATATAATATACATTACATAATAACATTGAATATCATTACATTATAACATTGGAGTATATTGATTTTAATTGGAAATGCTGTTAAATGCAAGGATTTGTTATAGAATACTTTCTTAGATTTATGAGAATATTCAATATTTTTCATTTTTCATCAATTCATTTTCGTCTATTCGTTATATATATATATATATATATATATATATATATATATATATATATATATATATATATATATATATATATATAATTTCACTAGTGAAATTTCCGTTAACTGAAATTTTTAACGGATCTTACAATTTCCCAGCGAAATATACATAAAACAATAATGTAAGATACGTCCTGAAACGTCAGGAACCAAAACTCAAAAGAAATGCTTTAAAACTTATTTAAAAAGCGAGGATGACAAAAATAGCAATTTTCATGGGAAACTATTTCAACTTTGATCGGTTTAAATAACTTAAGCTTATATTAACGTCAACAAATTCTATACTTGACAAGAAAATACCTTCAAGAAGCGGAACATCCTGGCACATCATTTCTATAAACTTTAAATTAAATAAAAAAATCAACTTACAGTATTAGTTAGAACGATCTTAGTATCATTCCTGGTTCTCAGTACAATGCACTGTTCACCCTTAACCGACACCAGATCCGAGGACACCTCTTCCACAGTGTCCAGGAGGATCATTTCCGGCTTGGCGCTGTTCTCTAGGTGGAGCTCGAGACGGTTGGGGTAGAGCTTGGCGTAGCGCGTCTGCCACGCACTTGCGAATGGCCCACCCAGCTTCTTTATGTAGCCGTGCAGTATACAGTCTGATTCTGTGACGATGAAAATAAATTTTAGTTAGTGATAAAATAATTCGTTTTAAACAAGTCATTACTTAATTTTTTTTAAAAACCCTAACAATCTTGGACCGATTTTCATCAAACATAGCTAAGAACACTCCTGACTAATTCACCTTTCAAACAAAAAACCAAAATTGGTACATCCGTTCGGGAGGTACGATGGCACACACAGATACACACACATAGACGTTAAACTTATAACAACCCGTCGTTTTTACGTCGGAGGTTAAAAAAAAACGCTATCATATAGTAGTAGCATTTACTTGTAAAACATCAAATGAGCCGAAAATTAAGATTTTGCTTGTAGCCAAATAAAAGTTTTACGATACTGTCTTTCGCATTGCCATGTTTTACTGTAGTAATACCATTCACACAAACAAAATTTTATATAATTTTGTCCGCAATGCACTTTTGTCTAATGCAAACTCCGAGTACAAAATTATGTCATACTAGCATTGCCAGCGGCTCCGCCCGCGTTCAGATGGCCATAAACCAAATTCTTAGGTTTTACATATTAGTATACTCTTACATTGCAGTTTTTGTATTTTTTTTTCAGAAATGAGACATTTTTCCGCGGTAAAAAGTATCCTATATTATAAATATCCTATATTCGCGTAAATCTAAGAAAGTATTAAGTATCCTATATGTTGACCCGGATAAACAACTATGTACTTATCACCATACCAAATTTCATCAAAATCCCTCCAGTGGTTTTTCTGTGATGCGGAGACAGACAGACAGACAAAAAATCTAAAAACTATAGATTCGGCCCCTGTATTGATAACAATGTTTATTTCAATAAGATTTTCCAAAAAATATTTAATGGACAGATTCGGCTTAGTTACAATTTTATTATATGTATAGATTATGCAATACATGGTACTCCGTGGCTTGAATGACGCGACTCTTATGAGGGAGTTGTTTATATTTTACAGAATAAAGCTTTTTCCGCCCAAAATAAAATTTCAACATACAATAACAAACATATACATGATACTGTGCTATATATGCTAGAAATGACGACAATATGATCGCCTTTACTTTAAAATAGTTTATTTTAGTCTTTGGTTAAATTGTACAATCTATGTTGTCATTTGGATTAATAATAATATTAATATGATTTCACCGCCTAAATTTAAAGAAAAACAAGGGTCAAACAGCTGGAATTTCAAACTCCCAAATCATTCAATAAACAATAATGCACACCGCCGCTAAGTACTTAATATTTGAAAATTATCACTTCACATGAATTGTCAAATTATTTTTCATTTCTTACCTTTTTCGTCAGCATCAAACTTTTGTTTCTGCTTAGCTTTCTTCTTGAGCTCGAGTTTGTCGGCCTCTTGATTGATTGTCTCGAACACGGTTTCCGCCACTTCAGATTGCCAACGCTCGGAGATTACGAGTGGAAAATCTTTGTATTGAGCTTGGTCTGTTTCTGTCAGCTGAAAAATAAATTTTTAGATATTTATTTATACCTATCTCACTTTGATGGCCGTTTAATATAGACGTCAGAGCACTCGTTTCTATAATGAGAATTGAGAGTTCGAGACTCGTTTGGAATTAATTTTCAAAAACAAAAAGGTAGGACGATTATGATATAGGATTTTGGTCATTTAAATTAAATTAGAAAATATAATTAATGTGTACAGTATAATATCTGTGAATAATTTCACGGGTGCTTTAATCTGACATAAATCTTGTTTCGAAAAATTTGCGTAATTGTGCGCGTAAAATAATACTAATAAATATTATATTATCAAAAAGTAAAGTTTATAAGTTTTTATGTAGGCGAAAATCTCTGAAACTACTTATCCTTCTGAAATTTTTTGAACTGATAGGAAACTGGAAGAAAAGTGCTACAATTGTTTTTTATTCCGATGAATATCTGTTTGCTTTTAGAAATATTAATCATTAACCTTAATTAAAGTCGAAAACTGTCGTTGAGTTAAGCGAGCAAGTAAACAAAGCTGAAAATAAAGCTATCGGCGTGCCTAAAAGTTTGAAAGCAATAAAAAGTATGGCAAAAAATGAAGTTGTTACTTGTCGCGTTGGAATTTACAAATTAAACGATTTGTTACTACAAATCGTTTAATTTATAAATTCCACTTTTTATCATAATATAATTATAAATATTAATTTTATCATATTAACCTTAATCCCCTTAGTGTCTTCCTCGTCAAAACTGCCAATATCGAAGGCGTCGGCGGCGTTGACCTCCCCGCGGGGCGGGATGAGCGGCGGCGTGTACTTCTGGTGGTACACTTGCTGCCAGTCAATGCCCGCGAAGAACACGTGCTCTTTCACCTCATCAGCACTGTTCGAATTAATGTCATTAATTAGTTTTAGCCTATGTGGTATACACTTTAGGATATTGGCTTTCCCCATTCTGAAAATCTGTTTCAACTCCGTTAATCTATAGTGTAACAATTAACAAACGCATTCATTCACAAAATATCACGTAAATGTGTATGTAACACAACAATACGTTAGTTCTATGTATCTACAAAAAATCTTGAAAACAATGTAGCAAAAACAGTATTCTCGTAAACTTTATTGATGTATAGATCTATTTTAGTATAAAAATAAAAATCCATGTTAAATCAAATGCTATCAAATTGAAAGCCACATAATTTTTATCATATCTACAGTAATTTATATTATACCTAATTTATATACTATACTAGGGGCTTACCCTCGCTTCGCTCGGGTTCGTCCCTAGGTACGATTAAAATAGATATAAATAGTTATCATCCAGCGTTAACCATGTAAATGTTATTTGTTTTTTCGGTAATTTTTTCGATCTTTTAATACTCGTTTTCCTATTCCGGACTAAGAGAAATCCAAAAAATCAAATATCATAAAAATTGGTCCAGCCATTCTTGATTTATAAATGGTGTAACTAACTCGACTTTGTTTTATATATTATAGATGTTATTTATATTTGGAAAGTAGCTTACCCTCGCCCTTTACATCCCAATCGCTTGTTAATATCTCTAAGCAACAAGCCTTCCAGTAAGCTCTTTAAACTTGGACTAAACGACTCGGGCAGTTCTACGTTCTGGAACAAAAATATTAAGAAAATTTGCAGTATTTTTTCTCAGCTCTATGAAAAGAAATCAAACTATATTTCCAGCGATCTTTCCTTCTTACCATTGTGAGAGTCATTCTATCTATCTCGTGCTTATCCTTTGTCTTATGTTGACGGAACGGCGAATGCCCCTTTAGCAGTTTGTATAACATACAACCAAAGCTGAACCAGTCGGCTGAAGAATCATATCCTGTGCCTTTAGAAAGTACTTCAGGTGCCATGTATCCATGGGTGCCTCTGAAAACGGAAATTTAATAACTATAAAATCTGTATACATAATGTATGTTCTCGAACACATGTCAAGTTTTTAAATATTAAATTTCCCTTCAAGACCTGGAAGATTATTAATATATACTGATTGGTTTAAATTTATTTACCATTGCATAAAATACATATTTCCTAAAAAAGTATAAAATTCTTAATAATATACAAAATATAATATTTGAAATTAACAATACAAGCAAAACATATGAAAATATATGTTTGAATACTCACACACTTGCATGCGGTTTCTTCTTAGAGAAATCACAAGCCAGTCCTAGGTCAGATATTCGTACATGACCGTGTTCGTCGAGGAGAATGTTTGCCGGCTTTAAATCTCTATACACTATGTGACGTTTGTGCATATGCTCCAGTCCTAGAAAAAAAAATTAGGTATGTGGAACTAATGATGCATAAATGATTTTTTTCGTATACTTTATGGAACTATAAAAAAATTATATACTCGTTAATAAAATAATAATAGTTTTAATAAAAAAAAATGTTCTTTCGTTTTACTTAATATATTAACTGATAATTTCGTGTATTTTATAATTTCCTTCCCTATTTCTTTTGAAGAATATAAAGATGTTTAATATTGATCTGCAGAATACCAGCTACGTTAGCAAATTTCTTCAATATTGGATAAAGACAGATAGATGATGGAGTGATACCTCTCGTATATATAGCGATTATAAACATAAAATTTTTAGCAAAGTTAATGTAGATTTCATTAAAAAAACGCGAAAATTCGTAACAGTAAATATTCAAATTATTATGAATTTAATTATTTCATTAATCAAACAAGGTATTCGACGTATTTTCTTATTTCTACGTTTTTGTTTATGGCCTATTGTTTTAGATGATTGTGGGATTTACATGATGTTATTCTGAAAACTGAAACATGAACTACCTGAAAATTTGTTCGTTATAACAAAAGCTATCAACTTCAGATTAATCACACTGTGAATATAATTTTGAACAGCATGTTAGTATTTGCGCTCTTGGGATTTTATTTGATGTAACACTTTACTTATTATTTTACAAACCTAATATTTGTGCAGAGTATTGGCCTGTTTAAATTAATTTTTTTTGTATAAAATATTTGAAGTACAAGATATCATATTATAAAAAATCACTAATTATTTAGGCCTTATAAAATACTTGTAAATTAAAGCATTAGGGTTTTAGATTTATAATGCTCTAAGATGAATTTAATTAAAATTACTACTCGGAGGTCGTATATATGAGAATCGAATATGTTATTACATATTCGACTCTCACACGAGGTAAATATTTATTAATATATTTGATTAGATGCTGATATATTGTTAGAACAATTGTTTCGTTATAAAGCTTAGCTGAGCTAAAAAGATATGTAACGTATAATACATACTAAACGTTACTATGGTAAAAATAGAATATACCTAAGCTTAATAACATTTTAATTTCTCGTTATTTATAATCAAAACAAAATTGTAAAATTATTCTGTTGTAAAAAGTGGTGTAGGCACATGATGTTGAAGCAACCAGTTACTGATCCTGTACCAGATCAGTATCTTGCTTATTTAAAGTACTTTTCTACTAATAACCGTGCGACCCGCAACAGAGAATACTTGCATTATGACATTAGGAGAGCTGTAGGTAATCACGGCGTTTAAAGCAAATAACTAATAAGTTGCCATTTTTGGGGTTATGTCAAAAGGCACAAAAATATGAAACAGGCTTGACGAAAATATAAGGGAAACCCTCACTCTGCCTGTCTGTCCGTAAATAACAGATATTTTACTCAGAAACGATAACACTTATACAATTAAGAAGTAAATATCATTTCTAGCCATAAAAACTACAGCAATTTTAACGTCTTATAATTACTATTTAACACTTCGGTCTACATCTACAATAAGTCTCAGAAAAATGATGGTTTTTACGGTAAAAACGAATGTAAGTTAGTACAAACACTCCGTTATTATCCAACATAATGACTAAATAGACTTTACCGTGTTCGAAATAACATGATTAATTTATTAACACTTTTCCTTCCCTGATTTAAAACAAATCGTACGAAGTAGCAATACTTTTACCAGTTGGACTAAATAGAAATCAAATAAATAACTTGTTTTAGTTCGCAAACCGAGAGGTCGTTTCGTCTAACGCCAAATGAATCTGTTAATTAAACTTTAATTTTATGTAATAGTATCGTCTCTACAACATAGGGGCAAGGTTAAATAATAGCCGCATCAATTAATATTAAATGTGTCAAGTACGGTGCATGTAGAAACATTGTAATATTAGATTATTTTAGCCTCTATACAGAGGTATTAAAGAGTACATATATATATATATATATATATATATATATATATATATATATATATATATATATATATATATATATATATATATATGAGCGCACATTGTGTGCAGAGCTCAGGATGCCTTTTCATTACAGTCAATTAAAAACTCTGTAGAGTTCGATTAGCGAGGGACTCTGCTCTAAATGTAATTGTAGCTACTTGACTGCAATCCACTTTGGCCATCTCGTTTAAAGGTAATGATTTTCCACATCTATTGAATACTTTCGATATCCACGAAGAATCAATCAAATAGCTCTAGATTATTACGCTCTTATTCCAATTACGTTTGACTTTTTAACAAACAGTAAGATAACTAACTAAAGATATAAAAAAATTGTGCTTACTATCAAAAATAACTGTATAAATTTTGAAGAAGTATAAAGTACACATTGATATCTTGGCGTTATTTTCAACCGACTTCAAAAAGGAGGAGGTTCTCAATTCGACTGTATGTTTTTTTTTTTTTTTTTATGTTTGTTACCTCAGAACTCCGTCATTTATTAACCGATTTGGACAATTTTTGTTTTGTTTGAAAGGGTATACTTCCAGATTGGTCCCATTTAAATTTCAAAAAAAAATACCACCCCTAAGGGTGGAAAAACAACTAATGATGAATTTAACCTACTTATAATTGTCATATTGACTTGAAACTTTGCAAGTATTTCTATTTCCGTTGATAGTACAGTGGTTCGGTGTTGTTGACCTGATCTGATGGCAAGGCTAGAAGGTGGATAGGTGGAACTCTTCAACGGCTAATAGTAGATACTTTGAGTTTGGGCTTATTTTGTTTGATTTGACAAGCCTAACACATTAGAATCCTTACTTTGCTACTACTGTCTACACTAAAAAGGGAAAAATAAAAACTTTTTAACAAAAAAATAAAAACCGACTTCAAAAAAAAGCACTAAAAAGTAAAAAATAACTGATTGGTAGTTTTCATTTACTATACATACCTAATCAAATATTTTCGAAGTCGGTGTGCTTTGGCTAAGTAATTAAAGCCTACCTATTAAATACATACCTAATCAAATATTTTAGAAATCGGTGCCAGCCCATATAAAGCAAAGCACACCGACTTCGAAAATATTTGATTAGGTATGTATAGTAAATGAAAACTACCAATCAGTTATTTTTTACTTTTTAGTGCTTTTTTTTGAAGTCGGTTTTTATTTTTTTGTTAAAAAGTTTTTATTGCTAAGAACTAACAAAGACTGAGAAATATAAAGTTATGATTATTAACTCGATAGGATAGAAAAAGAAAAATAACAGTTGAAGAAATTTAATTGTTGCTATTCAAGATAAATATAAAAAATAAAGTGTTATTTATAATCTATTATCTGTATATTTAAATTTATCTCGACCTAACTTTAGTAAAATTAGGCTATCAGAGCAATCGTGGTCTAACCGATAGATATTTTTTTTTACTTTCGGCTATATTTTTATTATTTTTCTGTATAAATAGATGTCAATATATCTCTATATGAGATAATCAGTATGATTCATCATTATTAATAAGTATTGTCATAGGCATGGCAAGTTGGGATACATGAGTTAGCTACTTCGCGCCTCCCATCCTTACATCCTTAATCTACTAATAAGGTTGTTTTGTTATGTAACTTTCAACTCTAGACGTTGCATTGAAATCATCATCGTATAAACTATAAAGCCTATCTTGCTTATATTAAGGACAAGCAAGCTGTTATATATTAATGAAATTTTATGAAGATCAATTACGATAAACATTTATTATAAGAAATCCCTTCCTAGACAATAGATATAAGAAAAATCTACCTAATATGACTTCAGCAGCATAAAACTTCATTTCGGCTTCATTGAAAACACCATGTTGGGATAGATGGTAGTGTAAATCCCCTCCATTCATAAGGTCCAGAATAAAGCAAAGCTTGTCCGGTGTATGGAATGCGTACGTCATACAAACGATGAATGGACAGTCCACCTGGAACAATACATAATCATTGTATGGAATTAACAAAAGAAACGTAAGCATATGCTACTTTGTTTTTTCACGGTGAATCACGCTGTACCATGATGAAATTTCTTGAGAATATTAGCGATGTAATATCATAAGTATGTTCGTATCGTAAATACTGTTGTATTACTTTCATTTAATATTTATCTATACTAATACATATTATAAAAAGGTAAAGTTTGTGAGTTTGTGACGTTGTAGGGGATAATCTCTGAATCTATTGAACCGATTAAAACGAAATGTGGTAAGAAGATAGTTTGAGATCCTGTGAAGGACATAGGATATTTTTTATCCCAGAAATCATCCCTTAAGGTGTTGAAAATGGTGATGAAAGTTTGTATGGGGAAACAACCTCGCTTCGTTCGGGTTCGTCCCTGGTCTAATAAAATAATATTTACATCACAAGAACGTTTGTTAAACGTATTTATTAAAATGTTCGATAGATTCCAATTGTTCTTTGGTTTTAAATAGACAAGAATAAACAAATATAGCTTGACGCATTGGCTAGGCGAAAGGCAAAATAGCATAAAAGCAATAAACCAGTAGAGCGTTATGACGAAGTATTACGACAAACGGAAATATTAACCGGAATATTGTGATGAATGCGTTCCCTTTGTTTATACTAGGGGCCGCGTGACAGGTAAAGCCGAGTGACTCACACAGTATAGGCAGTTTAGAATTACATGGTAGCATACAAAATTATCAAATACATCCACTTCATAAACATGTGGTAATCGAATCATATTTTTGTGACCACTCCAACCATTATCTTCAATGCGGTTTTTTTGCGATTACGTTGATTGATGGGTTTTGATAATTGTGATTGTGGAATACTAAATTACGTTCTTTACGATTATTATATTAATTGGAACTAAAATTTATTCAAAATTATTTAGACGTTTTAAAATTATTTCAACAAAATAAAAAAAGAAAATACATTTTAAGATTAACATCGGCCGTATCATCGAATCGATTTGGATAGTGATCGATGTTTTTGTACTGACAACGTAATCGAATTTATCGTCGAGACGTGTCGAGTCTGAGATGGCCGTGATCTCTTAGTGTTAGGAGATATCCTGGCAGACGAGGCGGCGCCCTATAACCAGACGAACGCTAATAAAAGATAAGCTTCTTATACGTTCAATGAAAAATACTCAGATGCAGCAATACTTTTCCACATCAACTAATCATACAACTATTTGCGTTTACATGACGCAGCGCACTAAGGAAGCAGAAATTGATTTTGTAGATTGAGAGCGGATAAAAGTAATAAAAATAAATCGTATTACGTATGTTAAGTCAGTCAATTTATGTATGCGAACATCAAAAAGGACAACTATATATACATATATGGATATTAATAGATAATCTGATATCTATACTGATATGTATTATAAGAAGGCAGAGTTTGTTTGTTCGTTTGTTTGTTTGTTGGATCGCGCTAATCTCGGGTACTACAAATGCGATTCGAAAAATTATTTTTGCATTGGTTAGCCCGTTTATTGAGGAAGGCTATATATCGTATAACATATAGTCTATCTATTCCATACTAAACGTTAAAGCATACGTAGGGATAAACCCGAGCGAAGCGAGGGTCAGTCGCTAGTGAAAATGAATTAGAGTAGGTAGATAATAAACTAATATTACAACAGGCATTTTTTAATAAAAAAATCCTATAGATAATTTCTTAACAACAAACTAAATATAAAATATCATGAGTTTATAACAAACGCTAAAAGCTAATGCTAAAGCATAGGCAAATAAGTTAAAGTCAAAATAAATAAGGTCAAAGCGAAAGAAATTCGCTATATTACTCGAGCATACATACATGTAAATGTATTAAGTTACGTCTAAGAAGTCGAGGCGGTTCACATTTTATAAACTTTAGATATCGTCGGTTTTATACAACAACAAGGAGGCTTTTAGGTCACGAAGAATGAAGACATCTATGTATAGCTTAGTATAGATAGTGCTAGTCTTTTTAATATTTTATTAATTTTACATAGGAGAGTTGTACGTGTAATAAAAAAAATTAACAAAATAACTATTTAATGAAAAAAAGATGTGTTAATTTAAAGTAAAATAATATTCAACTGTATAATATATTTCGACGCAAAAAAATAAAAATGCTGATACCTATACAAATTTAAAAAAAAATCTTCAATAGATGCGCTGATGTTCTCCGATTGAAGAGTAGCAAACTAGGTTAAGGTATACATTAAAAATGAAAAATTCAATTGTAAAACAAAGTGCAGCGGAAGCGGATTGGACTACGGCAAATTGTGGGCGAGCCAATTCGTTTCAGTCCAATTGGCTGGATATCGTTTATGTCCCCGATGTCATATCATATAACTATAGGTATTCGAAGAATCATAATGAACAAAGCAGCCTATTGATAAGCAATCGGAGCTAGTAACTAAAACATCAATATCCATATCAATCATAGGCCAGGCAGTAAAACTTTAATGATATTCTATCTCTTTAAGATAAGATTTGTGTTCCGTCATAGTTATTACGACGCTACTTGCTTATTTGTAGACGGTTAATCCGCTTAATGCATTTATTTTTCGTAGAATTCGTATGCGTTTATACTATATGTGTAATGTACATACAATATTTACGATTGCAACAATAATTATATATGTACATAGTGTTGTAACTTTTGAAGTATTTATTTCATGACAGTAGAACGAGTTTTTGACGTCCATGAAAAATTTATCTGCAAACTTTCCATAGACGCAAAACTCAAGTGTACATCAGCAAATCGTAATATCAGCGCTTAATTCAAAAAGCTTGCGTTGTTACTGTTAATTCATACTTGTAAAATATTCATATTCTCATATATGCCGTAATATTTCTCGTATTCAAGTAAAGCCGTCAGAACATATTTCTACATTGTAACAATACTCGCTAGTAAAACCCCATATACCAAGGGAAAACAAACAAAGATACACGTCACGAACACACAGTACGAAGTCCTATAAATAAGCTTTCCTTCTCCTAATTCTTCCTCGACTCTAATACCAATAGATTAATTGAATGAGCCATGGTTAATAGAAAGTCAATTAAATCACGACATCTATTTTTCCTTCGCAATAGAATAGTTTAAAGGTATAAGCATAATGTAATTTCTTTATATTTCATAATATGAGGACCAATAAAACGCGTAAAACATAATATATTAATCAATTAATTACAGAAACATATTTAGAGTAGTAAAACTCTCCACAGGTCTACATTTGAGTAAGCATATCTATGTATATTTTTACCCGACTGGGCCAGAAGATGTAGGTATGTTTTTGGCACGCTCTGCAGCTGAAACGCCTTGATGGATTTTAGCTTAAGAGGTGTCGTTAGATTCCTCTTAATTATTGTGAGAGTGACACGGGGTATATCAAAATTATAAAATTAAAATGCCCGATTTTTAACGACATATTATATCTTCAAAAATGTTTTTCCTTCATAACTTTTCGAGTGGGATATCAAAATAAAGAGTTTAATAAAAAGTTTCCAAAACTATATACTACTTATGTGTTTAAATGATGAATTTGGAATAAAAAATGCTAAAAAACAACAAATAAAAAAGATATTTATAAGAATAAAAAACCCCCTGCGTAAAAAGTTACTAAAAAATATGCTTTTATCTTTCACACATGCAGCTATTATAAAACACGTGCAATGTCTAAGTACATATGTCTCCGACTGCATAAAATTATGCACATATGTTCCTTCATCAACTTATTTTCATCTTTTTAGTTCGCTTTTATGCAGTCGGTTTTTTTTAACCCCCGACGCAAAAAGAGGGTTGTTATAAGTTTGACGTCGATGTCTGTCTGTGTGTGTGTCTGTGTGTGATGGACCGATTTTAATGCGTTTTTTTTTTCATTTGATAGCCAGTTTCCTTGCGGTGGTTCATAGCTATGTTTGGTTAATATCAGTCCAGCAGTGTAAGAGTATAAGCTCTTTTCCAAAATGATGTATGGTATTTTGGCGTATGATTACTTGATTAAGAGCTTCCCGCGAGCTAGTGTTCAATGACAGCAATCGTTAAATGACAATTTATTTGCGTTGACAATTTAGTTGCGGAGTTTTAAATTTTTTTAATTTATAATAAAAGAATTTATATGCGTTCCTAAACGCAAGTTGCGCTAAGTCGCTAGTTTTTTATAAATATTGAGATGGTCAAAATTAGATTAGCAACATTTTCACAAATGGCAATTTAAATTAGGTACGATATATTTTAACAGGACTCAATACTTAGATCATCATTTCAAGATTTGCTAGTTACAACTGAAGTTCGTCACGAGATGAAAACAAACGTACTTAAATACAGATAAGAGCGGCTTTGTCGTAATCCGGGTTAGTAGTGGTATTAACTGTACTACTTCACTTTTTACTATTCATATTATCTGAACAGTAAATATGTTTCAAATTTCATCAACAAAATGAATTTCAATTGACGAAAACATTCTTATTACTATAAATGTGAAACAAACATACACGCATACAAACCTAAATACACATACAAGTGTATTTAGGTTTGTATGTGTGTAATGTGTATGTTTGTTCCTTCACGCTAAACAGCTGGACGGACTTGAATGAAATATAGTACACAGACTATGAACTGGAGTAACACATAAGCTACTCCTTACTATTAAATACCTACCTATATTAATATTATAAAGAGGAAAAATTTGATTTTTTGCTCATTTGTTTGTACAGAATAGGCTTAGAAACTACTGGACCGATTTAGATGAAATTTGGTAAGAAGATAGTGTGAGACTCTAGGAATAATATAGGATAGCTTTTATCCCGGAAATCATCCCTTAAGGGGGTAAAATGGGGATGAAAATTTGTATGGGGAATCAACATAGGGACAAACCCGAACAAAGCGAGGGTGAGTCGCTAGTTTATTTATAAATCCTATATGTGTAAACCAACTATGTTTGCTTATGGATTGCGTTCAACTAAAAATAATTACCTACTATTGATTGGTGATATTTATATCATCGTCATAATTGCATGCGGCTAAGTTTCTTGTTTAAGATATTAATTTAAGCCACCTTGCCTTTGTTCTCGTTATGTAAATGTCTTTAGCGCGATGGACTCACGCGATGAGACTGATTATCCGGGTCAACATATAGGATACTTTTTACCGCGGAAAAATATCTCATTTCTGAGACAAAATACAAAAACTGCAATGTAAGAGTATACTAATATGTAAAGCCTAAGAATTTGGTTTTGGTCATCTGAACGCGGGCGGAGCCGCGGGCAATGCTAGTTACCTATAAAAACATCCAACACCTACTAGTTAAAGATAATTCAGAAGTATATGCAAAACTATAATTTTTCTTCTATTATATATTCTATTATTATAGATTAAAACAAGTATAAAAAGCACTTACCCCGGTACTGACTAGAGAGAGCATAATTCGTTCGTTGAGAGCGAGCGTCTCGCCTTGCTTCATCTTGATACGTTTCTTATCCAGGCATTTCATCGCGTACATTTTTCCCGTGTCTGCCTTTCGACAGCCGTACACCTGATGGAACGTATTTAATTTTATTCAAGTGATTCTACATAAATTTTATATTTATATTATTTTTATTATGATAAACGAACGTTTAATTACACTGATATATAGTAGGTATATGGAATGACTTGATAGCCGTAATGAATAATTTTCACAATATTTAATCATATGTAATATTTAATACGCTTTCATAAACACGAGTTGTAAACTTAAAACTGTCGAATTTTATTTAGCATTAAATTATTGTTTCAATTCTATGATGAAAATATTCATCATAAAATAAGAACACTTATTCTCTATCCGCCGACGTTTATAGGTTCGAATCACGCATGATACTCTCCTGTCTCAGACTGAAAGAATAAGATTGACGGAGCTCAAATGGTTTCCTATTTGTATGCAAAGAAAACGCTTCCCCCGCTATGTCCGCAGTAGATATTCAAGGGCCGTAATCGAGATTCGGCTTAAGGTACTTTAATTGTTCTTTACGCTGAGACCAAATGCAGCATAGCTTAGTACCATCCAACACGTAGCAACAATCAATCTTTTTATCTCCATCAGAAGAGTCTTTAAAATGGTTTCATTATTTATAGGACTGTGAAATGTGACTTCTGTATATAATTCAATGCTTTTAGCAGCAAGATAATCTCGCTGTAGTTAGTACCAACTGTAAACATTATTTAGTAGTCTGTTGATGTTTGTTCTCTAAGACCAAAGGGGTAACGTAACATGTAAATCTGTAAGACTTTACACGTTGTTCATCTTCTACTTATATAAACATTTGTAAATGAAAATATATTTTGGTCACACTGCCGTATTTTATCCGATACTATAGAAACGTTTAAAAATCAATACGTAATTGACTAAATAATTAATTAAAGTTATCGAACTTACTTCACCAAAGCCACCTCGACCAATAATACGATGTACGCTAAAATCGTTCATTGTTAGCTGAATGTTGAGCTCTAAGTTCTTCCATTGACAAAATCTCGTATATTTATCACTGTAAAAGAAATTTGCATTACAAAAATATCCATTCCACGTTTAAAACCATTTTCTTGTAGCGATGTTCTTACCTTTCTAAAAAATTTTTAAACGGTTCCCCTCGTAAATGTTGAAATATTTCTTCAATATATGGCTGAAACGTAAATTTTGAAATACAGATACTTTATGCCTTATAAAGATTAAGGCGATAAAACAGCACATTACATACATTATTTCCTCAGAATAAAGCAAAACTTGACGCGTGAGCGGTTCACGTCATTTTTTTACGTGATAAACCTTTATAATTATTATTATTAAATCAAATATAATTAAATATTTTTACCTCAAATAGATTCGGTGGTACTTCGTGTTTCATTAAATATTTTTGTACATGCGCTACACATTCTTTAGAATAATCCTAAAAGCAAATAATTTAATTTTAGAAAAAAAATAATGGATATTGTTTTTCTTTTCGGTTATTATATTAACCTAGGGTGTATAAAAACTTGTTCTTCTTTCACACGTTTATGTAAGTTAATGTAAGAGTTTGTTGCACTTAAAATATATAATTTATCAATACTAAGAACTTCGCGTCAGAAATAGGTACTGAAGACAATAATTTATACCTTTTCTCTCCCTCGAGAACGACACTGTTAAGACAGATAAGTAAGACAACGAACGTTAGGAAAAAGGAAACAATTCCCTTTCAATTGAAAAAGTCGCTTGATATCTTCAATTTACTCACTAAAGAGATATTAGCTTTTAAAAGAATCTCGACTGCATCAAATTAAATTATAGGTATACTTGATATTGCACGAGACATCGCCCACGTGGTCTTCACTTTTTAACCGACTGCGCGACGCAAAGAAGGGTAGTGTGTTTTTCAGTCTCTGTATGTACATAATATGTATGTTTGTTCCTGTGGCGTTCTAGAGACCAAACGCGTAGGCCGATTTCGATGATTCATACGTCACTAGAGTCGACGTGATAACGCGAGTATCATAGGCTATATAAAAATAGTTAAAAATTAAAATTACATATTTTAGGCGCCAATTTCTTCTAAGCTAATCGAGTGGGGTATCAATTAAATAAGGGTTTTTAAGAGGCGATCACAAAAATATATACAATATAAATATAAATTAAAAGTACTTAATTTAGGATAAAAAAATGCTAAATATAACATGAAATGTCTAATCTAATTGGCATAAGACTTTTTAGTAGTATATATATATAAAGAAAATAAAAAAAGACCCAACTGCATAAAAGCTAACTAAAAAGATGAAAACAAGTTGACGAAGAATTAAATTATTATGCAGTCGGAGACATACATATACGAGTATGCATACATCTTACGGCAAGGATGAAACGTGTCTCCGACTGCATAATTCTTTTATTCCTTCGTCAACTTGTTTTCATCTTTTTAGTTAACTTTTATTGGCCGATTTCAAAAAAGGAAGTCGTACCTACTCAATTTGTTTGTATGTCTTTATTTATGTTATTATTATATTACAATGAAAAGGAATGAAAAATATAACTATACCTCAAGGGGACCTCTTTATAATAATATAAATATTAAAAAAACACCCTTATAGGTTACAATAACTCCACGAGTAAATTACTCTTTAGTTATATTGAAGGCGTGTATCCTTTTAGGTAATAAATATTATTATAATTTTTAAATTCAAACTTCACTAGGGTACTACTACCAGAATCCCCGAACAAAGCAACTTTAACCGCGTTATTCAATACTAACAGAACTTAATCATACTAATAGAATTTACATAAAATTTCTATTTCCTATCCTTCAAAGTTATATAATATTATATTATAATATATATTACAATAAAATAACCAAATGTCAGTCAGTCTTTACCAAATACTTTGTCATTTTTAAAGTTCCGTTTAAATCGATTTAAACTTTTTTTAAATGAGCTCTAATATAAAATAGTTATTTGAGGTGAATAGCATACAAATAACCATAACAGTTTTTAAATTCTTAAGCTTTTTGGTACTTCGTAACAAGCAAATAAATCTGTGCCTTCTGTGACGAGTGATATAAGTCGAGTTGTACCCTTTTTGTGATTTTTACATAGAAATAATCAGAAAAAAATTTAGGATTTTTTTGGTCTAACTCACGTTCTTCTATCTACTATAGTTTCGGACATAATTTTGTGCAAAGTGGCAGGATTTTTGCAAAAATATCGTGAATATAGATATATTTCAAGTTGTAACCTCTATAAGTAATTGCTGCACACACTATTCTTCGTGCTTCGTGGTATAAGTGCGATTGTATTAATTTTCACATTTTATTTTTTAGTAAAATTATCGTGAATATTATTATTATTAGAGTTATATCACTTTGAACAGATTTTTCTCAATACTGATTAGGGTACAATTCAACATGTACCTACTAATCCTAATTCTGTACAAATAAACTTTTATGTGTAAACGAATATAATTTGAATTGTATCTAAAACTCAAACCAAATCTAAATCAAAAATGTATGAAGAACAAGACGTGCTAAATGATACTGGGATACACCTATAAACTTTTCACTTTTGTGGTTTTGGGATTTAGTTTGGTTTGGTTTTGGGTTTTATGATGGTATGCAATTTTTTTCGCGATTTTGGTGCAGTGATTTTGCATGAACTTGATCCTTCAAAAACAAATAAGATGAGCGCGTGGACTGTCAAGTGGTTAGTCATCTTTTACGACACCCTCGGAATGTAGATTTGGTGACTTTCAGTATTCTCAATCCGTCACCAAACGGACAGTTGCAATTAGTAGTTGCCGAACTGAATCAGATAGGTGTACCTTCTTACAGACATTTTTATTATCATTTCCGAAATCTCGAATTGCTAAAATTATGGATTTAGCCCTAGTCACATGGCGAACATGAGTTCACAAGACCATATTGAAGTTTAAATTGAACGTACAGAACAAAATAATAATACCAATGAAGACGGCTATGGATATCATGTAAGAGAACTTATTGAAGTATCGCTGCCAGTAGTAGTGAACCTATAGAAAGTCCAGTCCCTACTATCCACGAACACAAAAATTCAGAAAAATCTGCAGAGAATTTAACAGAAATAGTTATTAACAATTATAATAAGACAAACGAAATAAATGGCAATGATTCCAAAAGATGATCTATGATGATTTGAACCTTACGGATTCATCTAGCTATGGTGACTTTGTGACACCACACCACCTCAGAAGATGCTCTTCAACTGAACTTGACTGTGACGTGAAGCTCCAGTGTGTTGAGATAGCGCTGCCCAGCACTCGCCTCCGTATAAAAGGACTGGTCGGATGATGCTCTTATCTGTTCCTTGAGCTTGCGCGGTATTCTGCGATCACAAGCCACACCTGTGACCTCCAGCTTCCCTTATACACGCTTAAACGTCGTGATCGATGCTTTCTGAATTTCTTCGATTTAACGGCTGGTTCAAGCCATATACTCAGTCTTCGTGACATTTAGTTTGACACCACCGTTCTCAAGCGTACCCTTCCACAGGTTCACCCTACGCTCCAGCTCTACACGGCTCTTATCAACGAGCTATATCATCGGCATACATCATCAGCCATGGAGGCTGGTCCTGGATGCATGCTGAGACAACATCTAGAAGTACGTTGAATAAGAACGAACAGTTCTGACCACGGAACCACCGCCTTTTTATCTAACTTTTAAACAAAAGTTTTAAAACAAGTTTAATCTAGCCCACTTAGAACGCGAACTAGAATTTTTTAAATCTTGTTTTTGCTCTCCTGTAAAATGTAGATTTTTGACTTGTATCACTTGTCACAGGAGGCACAGAAATATATTTAAAAATTATTTGCTTGTTACGAAATCCCAAAAAACTTCACAAATTCATACTCGTAGAAAGACGTTATAATTTCATTTAAAACAAATACGTATTATTATACGTATTATTATTACGATTTCGTAGGCGATGACGATATTTTAATATGTTGTTGAATAAAGTCGTAAAAGAAGAATAAAAAATAGTTTACTGTAGAGCTTTTATGACAGGCTAACTGATTTCTAAACAATTATTCGTGCACTTTTTTGTAAACTAAGATAATATATTCCTTTAGCGTATCACAGTGAATGAACTTTCAAATAAAGTAAACACACAGACAAAATGTACAACTAATGTATAAGAAAAGTATCGCAACCAGTCGTTATTGAGATTGAAGGCTAGGGTAGACGCAGACGACTGGCCATTTGCCAAGAAAATGTACTTAACAGAGCTCTTTTCGCAAACAAATGTATTTAGTAACACTAATGACAGTTTTAAGAATCTCAAACACCCATTTACATTTATTTTAATTTATGTACACATATCTTTGTATCTTCGTACGTACTCCTAACATTACAATACCTGTAAATTACAGTTAATTAAAAACAAATAAATTAAATTAGTAATATTTTCATTTCGACGACATGTTTGCCTCAGTTTGTAGTGACCCTACTTGCTGTGCTAGTGGTCGCGGGTTCGAGTCTCGCTGGGGGCATTCATTTGTGTGATGAGCACGAATGTTTGTTCTCCAGTCATGGGCGTTTATATTTATAATACGTGTGTAGTTAAAGTTATATATGTGTAGTGTATCAGCTATCTGGTATCCATAACACAAGCCTTGTAGCTTACAATGGAACTAGATGGCGCTGTGTCTTAATGTCCCAACATATTTATTATTTTCCAAGGGATTAGGTTGATTCGGATAAAAAAATATATAATTTATTAATCATTAATATACATTTTCTTAACTTATATATGTCAAGCATCAAAGTATAAAAGCGACTTACATGTGAATGTGCTAGCAGTTCCTTCATTATAAAATTATCATAGATATCTCTCGCTATTCTTCGCCTTTCTTCCACGCACTCTTGTTTTTCAAATAATTTTATCTAATAAAAAATAACAAGAAATAATATTACTATCATTATTATTTATAGCTACAGTACTCACAACATATATATATATATATATATATATATATATATATATATATATACATAAATTGTTATCAAGCTACCTCTTCATAAAATTTTAATTGTGGCACTGGTTCTTCTGATGTTTGTTCACAGAATTCCTTAAATAGTAAATAACCTGTAACAATTTCAATAATTAATATAGTAAATAATAATAAAATTAATATAATAAAAAAATTAATATTTACACGTAGAATTTTATTAAATATTTATTTTTAAACTAGCGACTTCGGGTTCATCCCCAGGTACGTTATAACAGTTAGTTCTGAAAAGATAGACTATATATTATATATGTATATGATTTTTTTCCAATTTAAACTTGACGCATTGTTGTAGATGATAGGTCTGCCACTAACATCATCTATTGAAAGTAATCCTAATTAGTGATTCCCACACAAAATAAACAGTTCTGAACTTTTGCATTTTCCAGCAGTTCTTATAGTTTTACCTATTTTTTTATATTTAAACCACCCCTGACACACACAAAATAAAAATAATTATTCAAATCGATCCAGCCGGTTTTTGAGTTTTAGTGAGACTAACGAACGGAAATTGATTTTTATATAGATGTATAGATTATAATGAGTCGCAAAGTAAAACAAATGTTGGCTTACTACATAATATAGTAAGCTTAAAAACTGCTAATAAAGTCAACCTAATATATAAAATGTGGAAAATATCTTGAATCGTTTGGTTTTGATACGAATAATCGAGGTTTAACGTTTATATAAGTAACTCTTTTTTATTAACTTTTAAAGTAACTATTCCATTAGCTTTATCAGTAGTAGTAAAAGTGTATTTCACTTAATGTCAGCGTCTATGATTAATTATTTTACCAAAGCTTGTTTGGGTTCCGTATCCCAAAGACAAAAACGGAATAGGTACTTATAGTCTTGTCATATTTCAAAGTCTCAAAGAAATACATATTTCATTTTTATGAGTTATGTGTTTACATAAATATTTTAAATTAATTTTAAACTTATAAATTACAAAAGGCAAAACTACTATTTGAGGGCATGAAACCTTTGATGTGTGAGTTAATCTCATTCGTTCGATTTTGATATTTTTCAGTTTTTAATAATTTCTATGGATCAAACAATGAACACGCATTCCATATTTACTGACGTAAATTCTCATGCGTAATTATAAATGATACGATGGTTACGTAAACATTTATCATTATCAAAGAAAATATAAATAGTTTATCAAGTAATGATATGCCCAGTGGATACTACTACAGTTTTAATAATTATATTGATATTACTTATATCTTGAAATATAACATACGACATCGATTGATCTTTTAATACTAGTAGGTACTTTGTTTTTTCTAAGATAACCTTATTTTCTGCGAAGATAGCCAGGAATTATCTTACATATTTTATTTTAACCAAAATAACAATCTTTTAATAAATTTCCTTAGTCAATATGACACAAAAGTCCGTCGGTCAGGTCCGTCGGATCCGACTTTTATTCAGAGAAAGTTGGTATGACTCAAGCATTTGTCACACTTCTAAAATATATTGGTCATCAACCTAGACTTTACCAAATGACTATTAAATACTGCAAATATACCTACTCTACTAAGAATGAAATCGACGGGTGAAAGGCTATTTGGTTTAAGCGACATTTTCTTAACTTTACAGGAGACCCAATTTAATGATTTTTATTTGAAAAAAAATTCAAATTAAGCAAATGTCGCTTAAACCAAATATCCTTTCACCCGTCAAAATAAATAACAATTTAATATTTATTCTTATTGTCTATACTATACGGTATATAATAACATACGAAAATTAACCGATAATGTTTTTGGCACTTGAAAAAGTAATATTTCCTTTAGAAAACTTAATTTTTGAAATATAAATACGATTTTAAACTTACAGCAGAAGTTTTAGTATGACTATATTATGTTTATATAATGAACAATCAAAATGCATGCGTCTGTTTACTTTTACATAATACCTATGTCCACTGCACCCGATAAAGTTATTTATTGCAAGTCTAAGGGGCTGCCGCCCGTAAATTGCGTTTGTTACTCATCTTGAGTGGGGACTCGACTGCTATATCGAGCTATGTCACAAATATAATAGTCTATCATATAAATTGATATTGTTCCTATATAGAGGAACTTATATTTATAGGATTATTGCGAATCTATATAAATAAAAATGAATCAACGAAATGTATGTACCCGCATAACCTCCGATCGACTGTACCAATCTGGATAATTCTTTTTTTGTTTTTTATTGTCAGGACAAGCTTTGTATCTGAAGAAAAAAGTTTTTTTTTACTAAAATTTTTTTTTTAAATGTCATGATATGAAAAGTGAGTAAGTGAAATAGTTTTTGTCCCAGAAATCATCCCTTAACGGAGTGAGAATGGAGATAAAAGTTTGTACGCAGAAGCTAGAGACGAACCCGAGCGAAGCGAGGGTGAGTCGCTCTTCATATTATGATCTTTATCTACTTACTATATAGCTTTACTACTAGCTAGCTATCTACTATGAGCTTTATCTACTTACTATAAATACAATAAATACTATTTACATCCGTGTAAATTATAATTTGACTGTACCATGTGTATTCAGCCCTTTTTAACGCCCATCTGCCTGGCACGGGCCTCCCTTCAATACGAGGGGGATCAGGCCATAATCCACCACGATGGCCAAGTGCGAGTTGGGAGACTTCACATGTCTTTCGAAAACTTACTTGGTTCTCTCAGACAAGCAGATTTCCTCACAATATTTTCCTTCACCGTAAGATAAGTAGTATTCATGTTGGAAATGATTCGAATAATACATGAAATTTTAAACCCGTTTCATTCGGTTTCCCAAGCGAACGCGTTACCTCTGACTGTATGATATAGATCAATATATTCTGGTAAGAGGAAATAAAACTTATATTAATGTTATCTCTTTTTTTTAGTATATAAACCACTATAGGTAATAAAGACTTTATGCTGTCTTCTATGATTAAAATATCGAAAATTTTCTTAAAAATTGTTCCTTTGTTTAACAGAAATAATATAAAATATAGAACAAAACGTAGAACGTTATAGTATTAACAGTTCACAGGGCAGGTGAAGCGACAAATGAAGCACAAGAGTTAATTACTCAAAGGAACGATCTGCTTCATCTGCGTAATAATTGAGAAACTACTTCACGTTGTTGAAGCCGGTGCATACTTCTCGACACCCTTAGCCGACCACTCTAACGCCACGCCCCAGGCATTATGCCTATTTTTGGGGCCCATCTCTGTGTTTACACATTGACCGGTGACCATCTTTTTATTTTACCAGTTGATGTGTCACAGTAAACCATGTAAAATCTTTTTAAATAAAACTATCTTTTCGGATTTTGTCGCGGATTTATTTGGATTTTTGTTTCCCGACGTTTCGAATGCTTTACAGCATCCATGGTCACGGGAGAGACTGAGGTGTTACATGTCTTGAATGTATAGTTGTTACAGACAGCCTACCCACAATTAACAAAATGAAAATTGCACCAATTACATTACAATATTTTTTAACTTTAAACATTTTTATAATTTTAATTATAATTGAATATGGAAAATTATTTATTTAATTTTGTTATTATTTTTATAATTATTACAATTTTAAAATATTAATTAGTAATCTATATTTAGTGTTGCCATTATTATATTTATAACCATAAAGAAAAATATAAAATGTAGTATTAATTATTAAAGCCATATAATTGTTCTATGTGTAATTTAAAAAGTTAAAATTAATTAAGGATAACAATTTTAATTTAGTTTGCTATTATTTAAAAAACAACTTACTAAGCAACACTATTAATATATACTTTTACAAATGAAAAATGAAAAATATTAGTCTGATAAGCTGTCATTTTGATCTACACAGTATGAACTTACTACATCTGCCTGTCTGTTATGTTTATATTTATTATTTGATTTTATTATATTAATAACAGGATCCCATGACGATGGTAGTACCCAGCCATCTTCCCTATTGAAATTAGGATGTTTTTTAATTTCTATGGCTTCTCGAATCATTCTAGGGCGATATCGGTTTTCTTTCGCCAGGATTTGAGGTCTATCGAAGCGAATATAATGGCTTGGGCGGTCCTGACTATGTTTGCAGACAGCAGATGTTGTATTGCGACGGTGCTTCACATCAGCTATGTGTTCTTTGACCCGGGTTCTAATGGATCTCTTTGTTTGTCCGATGTAAGAGAGCCCACAATCACAATCAAGCTTGTAAAACTCCTGCATCTTGTAGAGGGATGTGGCACTTGACAGGTGGTAGAAACTGACTAATTTTCTTTGGCGGCTTGAAGTAAGTTTTAATTGAAGCTCGCTTTAGAATGTAGCCAATCTTGTCAGTGACGCCTCTCATGTAAGGTAGGACTGCAGGGACGCGCTCGACTGTGGCTGGTTTCACTCGGTCCCTGTGACGTAGGCGCGGCACTTGCAGCTTGTTGTCTCGCAGAACTTGCTTGACATGTTGCAGCTCTCCGGCCAGGTGTTGCTCGTCACAGATCCCGCGTGCCCTCTGAAACAAAGATTTTCCCACGGTAGCTAACTGTGAAGGGTGGTGGTGAGATTCACCATTCAAGTACCTATCAGTATGGGTCTTCTTTCGATACACAGTATGACTTAAGGTGTTATCTGGGTTACGTATAACTAATACATCTAAGAAAGCTAAAGAATTATTAGACTCCAATTCCATTGTAAATTGTATTTTAGGGTTTATGGAGTTAAGATGTTCTAAGAATACAGATATTTTATCAGATGGTAATATTGTGAAAGTGTCATCTACATACCGCTTGTAGAAACGAGGGCTCACAGGTGATGTGTTTAGGGCGGTCTCCTCGAAGGCCTCCATGAAGATGTCAGCTACAACGGGAGAGACCGGCGAACCCATGGCCACTCCATCCACTTGCTTGTAGAATTCATCATTCCACAATAGATAGCCAGATGTAAGGCAGTGTTTCAAAAGTTCAGTGTATTCTTCTTGCATACTATTATCCCGTAGCTTTCTTGATACTATTTTGACACAGTCCTCTACTGGTAGGCTGGTGAATAGAGACTGTACATCAAAACTGACCATAGTTTCATTGTCCATGAGTTGTAG